ATGCTGTGGGATAGATAAGAGTGAAGGAGGCAGGGGTGTGTGTGATGCTGTAGGATAGAAAAGAGTGAAGGAGGCAGGGGTGTGTATGATGCTGTAGGATAGATAAGAGTGAAGGAGACAGGGGTAAAGGTGATGCTGTAGGATAGATAAGAGTGAAGGAGGCAGGGGTGTGTGCGATGCTGTGGGATAGATAAGAGTGAAGGAGACAATAGTGTGTGTGATGCTGTAGGATAGATAAGAGTGAAGGAGGCAGGGGTGTGTGTGATGCTGTAGGATAGATAAGAGTGAGAGAGGCAGGGGTGTGAGTGATGCTGTGGGAAGAGCTATTATCACCTTTCTACTTTCTCTTTCAAGTGACAAAGGGGTGAATAGCTGGCGAGGAGACAGAGAGAAAGAGAGGATTATAGAGATGAAGAATGGTAGAATAAAGGAGAAATCTGAAGAGGAGAAAGATAGAGGGAAAAATAGAGGGAAGGGAGGATTACAGGACAAAGGATGAAACAGAGAAATGGAAAGTTGAGTTAAGAACCAACATAACAGTACTTGAGACATTCCTCACAAGTGCTTTGTCACCATCTTCAGCAGCCAGCGCAGAGTTCCCCTTCTAATGGTACCAGCAGCGGTGTGAATGTATGTACATTGTGTCTTTCAACTAAGTGTTGGCTTGTGCACCTCCACACTGTTCACTTGCTCCCAAAGGATCTTAATACTGCATTGCTCGATATGCATCAATTTACCACCTAGTGGTTCAAAACTAACCAGTATGTATGCTTGTTCATATGCATGTCTCAGAGATAACAGAAATTGAAAAAGAAAGAGGATAAGGCATTAGGAAGAAGGAAAGAAGAATAAAGATAGGGGCAAGAAAAGAAGGCAGGATGAACAGAGAGATAAATAATACAAAATTTACATAATTTCCATTCTACACATTATCAGGTCAGAATTATATGGCTTTTCCCCACAATGAATGAAATTCCCCTGACTTAAAGTCTATAGATTACTTTCTTACCTGGCTTTCTTCATCACTGGTGTTTTGGACAGAAATCTTCAAAATGCTACAGTCGCCAGGAGTCAGCTCAGGAAACTTGACCACCTTACGTACCAGGCTCAGAGATGTCTGTTGTGTTCCGTTTTCACTTCTGGAAACAAAATCAAGAACCAGGTTTAAATCTCGATTAAGGTTTAAACAAAAAAAGGTCCTGTACACATCGGTGGCGCATCCGGAATATGAGGTTACTTATATTTTTATCGACCAATCAGCCGTCGATGGGAGATGCGGTCAAACATCGTGCTGGCCGCCTTTACTCGCCAGGACTTTACCTGGTGCCCATTTAAGGCTCGGTCGACCTGAGAGTCAAGGTCAGACTTGAAAAAATCCAGCTTTATGGGGATTTGAACCAACAAACTTAGGATCTGCAGGTGAGCATCTAGGTGCTACGCCATGGCAGATTTTATTTCTGCCCCCAACAGAAATAAAATCCTAACTTGCACAGTCCGAGGTGTCAGCCCTACCCATGCGGCGATAAAACCTCAGGCTATCACAGGCAGCTCACCCTTTCTTTTCAACTTCAATCTATAGTTCTTTCTCTGTGAGCATTTTGTTTTGGGGTATGCCTCTATTTCTAAAACCTTCAGATTAGCTGCAATATCTATGCCTTTCAGTCAACACATTCAATTTCAGCTGGTCCATAATTAGCTACCTTTTAAGACATGTTTGTTGCCTGTTAGAGCTTGTGTATATTTAAAAAAAAAAAAGCCAAAACGGATCTCATAACATAAACAGGAAATACCCTAATTCAAGAGTAATGACTACTAGATGGTGAAATATGACAGCCCACCCTTACTTGCATAGAGCATGGGGGATAACAAATTAAAGAAACGCCACACAAGTCATTCGAGAGAATACACTCACATGACACAACAAGGGTACAATACCTGAAGGGACTGCCACCTCCTGGAGAACTGGATTCCTGTCTGGCTAAAGATTTCACTGGATCAGATGCCACCAGTGGGGATTCAGTCACATCTGATGAGCCAACAGTTCCTCTGGATGTAGCTCTGGTATTTACTGCACTAACTGATGATGCTGGAGAACTCACAGGAGAAGAATGAGATGACACATCCTTGGATTCAGTTACAGGGACCCAGGACACACCAGAGCTTTTAGCAGAAGTAGGTCTTTGTGCAGCTGAGTTTGAACGGGTAACTAAAGCAGGTGATGCATCAGAACTGTTTGAGCGTTGCACACCAGAACTGCCTGAGCGTTGCACACCAGAACTGCCTGATCGCTGAACACCAGAGCCACCTGAATGGTGCACACCGGACTTAACGCCTCTGTTTTCAACTTTAGAGCTATGTACAAGGGATGAGCCTATCCCAGGAGGTTTGTTTGCTGCTGATGTGCTGGCAGTGGCGGGTGGTGATGGTCTAGAAGTACCTAGAGATTTCTGGATGTGTTTTCCTCGAGGTGATTTTGAGAAGTGGGTGGGACTTAGCCCTTGTGGGATAATGCCCTGTTCAAAAAGAGCATGGGCAAGTGGTGATCTGGAGGATGCCTACAGAGAACAATCAAAGAAATGTTAGAAATACTTATTGATAAACTAAGACATGAAGATAAGCAAGACCACCAATATGGTCTCTGAGAAATCTTGAAGCTCTATAAATTAAATAAATCAACAGTGTGCATCTTTCTCCCCCTTGGTTTTAGCCATTAGTGTTTTCTCTCTGCACTCCTCTCCAGGCTCAAGTCAAGACGCAGGAAAAAACTCTAACTGGGTCTGGACTGCTGTGAGGGGGAGGGTTCGATACTGCACCAACCTGGCAGACAGCAACAGGCTCGGGATACTTTTTTTTTGGTCACTGGCATTACAGGGAGGAATTGCATGATGCTGTAGTTTTCAAGTTTGGCTGTGAACTTTTCTATTTAAAAAAATTAGTCTAGCATCATATACCTAAATTGGCACTGGCTAAGATGCCCTAAATGTTAACATCACCTCACATCTGCGAACGTAGCTTATTTGGGAAACAGATAAGAAATAAACTAAAGAATGATCAAAGGCAAGAGGGTTTTATACCATATGGCTCAGTCTGTGCAGATTGACTGTTTACCTGCTGACAGAATCCCACAAAGCCATGCAGAAAGAAACTCATCATCATCATCATCATGTAGCAGGTCCTTTACAGAACGTCGCTCTCATCACAGTCTGCCTGAAAGAAACTCGGTCTCTTGCCAGTTCTCCCGCCTCATGAACTTCCACACTCAAGGAGTCACTTATATCCTGTGCCCATCTTCGTGTCGGTCGGCCTCTGCCCCTCCTTCCTGGTACCATGCCTTCTGCTATAATTTTTTTCCAATCCGTCATGGCACTTGATATGACCAAAATATTTCAGCTCTCGAGAAAGGATGCTGTTTATTAGCCAATCTTCCTTGATGTTCAGATCTTTTAAGATGTCAATATTTCTCATCTTCTTTGTCCAAGATATTCTGAGAATCTTTCTATAGCATTTCAGCTCAAAAGCCCCTATTCTCTTTCTTAAGGACTGAGAGAAAGAAACTAGAGGCCATTAAAAAGCAGTTATTTGCAGAACATCTTCTCCTCCTGATTTTGTCCATAAAAGTGTAGCTTGCACGCTGTGTTGTGGTTCACAGTTAGGTTGTGATATCTGCGCCTTTCAGCCAAACACATCCAGCTTCAGCATTCACCAGTCATATTCCTTTTATGACATGATTGTTACGGGGCAGTAGGTCTTTTTTCGTTTTTTGTTTTTAAAACTTTTAAAACCCCAAAATGAGGCCCAAGAACACATACGCTGCTACAGAATGTGAAATAACACCCAGTTTAAAACATCATCCTGTCATTTATAAGTCACATTTGAAGGCAGGATGAACAGAGAGATAAAGAATACAAAATTTACATAATTTCCATTCTACACATTATCAGATCAGAATTATATGGCACATTCCCACAACGAATGAGATTCCCCTGACTTAAAGTCTATAGATTACTTTCTTACCTGGCTTTCTTCATCACTGGTGTTTTGGACAGAAATCTTCAAAATGCTACAGTCGCCAGGAGTCAGCTCAGGAAACTTGACCACCTTACGTACCAGGCTCAGAGATGTCTGCCGTGTTTATGGTCTATTTATTCATTTTACTGTACCCTGTGCAATCTTTTTCCTGTGTTCATACAAACAGGTGGATGCGCTGTACCCATTTACAAGATGGCTGCAACATTTGTGCCTTTCAGTCAATAAATCTGACGTCTGCAGGCATTTGTGGCCTAGGTTAGCCTTCCTGCAGTCTCACGGTTGTGCGGTTATCTTTGTTTACAGGTGCCCCCTCAATGCTGTTTTTTTTTAGTTAATATATTGACATCTTGACCTTATAATAGATTTGTGCAGGCCAATAGCATGAACTAAATGTCTTTAAGCAGGTCACTATAGACAAATCAGAATAGCGATATTTACAAGGAACTAACCCCAAATGAAGTGCCTATTTTGGGCTTCTCAAGGTGACGGGGTTAAATTCCTTCTATTGAAGGTTTATCATTTTCATATGGCATTTTTTTGGGGCCACAAATACATTAAACTTTCACACCCTTTTTAGTGGTTCTTCAACTTTCACAGGTTAAAACTAAAATAATGTCAGAATTGAAGTAATTTAGCTTTAAGAATATATAAAATTGAAAACTTTAGCTTTTCACAGTCACCAGGAAATTTTCTGAGAACTAAAGGCAGCTGGCATGATAATGACCACATGAAGCCCCGACTGGTCTATAAAGATATCATCATTATCATGTAGCAGGTCCTTTGCAGAACATTGCTCTCATCACAGTCCGTCTGTGAGAAACAGTTTCTTGCCAGCTTTCCCGCCTTGTGCACTTTCAACCCAAGCTGTCACTTATATCCTATGCTCATCTTTGTGCTGACTGGTCTTAGCCCCTCTGATTATAATTTTAGATGCAAAAATGGCTTCAAGACAAGGAAAACGGTTTGTTTGGCTACAGCAAGTACTTTACCTTTGCATAGATTGTGAACCGATGAAAGGAGCCCTGGCTGTCAGCAGTGTCATAGAGACACCAGGCCTGGTTGTAGGAGCCCTCGCACTGAGGGCAGAACATGATATGCACCTGCAGGATACAAGACACCAGTTTAACATTCACACAATATAAGGATGAGCAAACATTTTGCACAGGACAACACCAAAAAAAATTTGTATAAAAAACTAATAAAGATGCTTATAAAATATGTAAAGGCCCTTTCCTGAAAGCAGAGGTATTTTGGCCACGTTTAACCTCTTGGAGGGCGGGACAAAACAGTGATGGGGGGAGTGCAGTTTCTGGGAGAGCAAAGCAGAGGTATTTTGGCCACGTTTAACCTCTTGGAGGGCGGGACAAAACAGTGATGGGGGGAGTGCCGTTTCTGGGAGAGCAAAGCAGAGGTATTTTAGCCACTTTAACCTCTTGGAGGGCGGGACAAAACAGTGATGGGGGGAGTGCAGTTTCTGGGAGAGCAAAGCAGAGGTATTTTAGCCACTTTAACCTCTTGGAGGGCGGGACAAAACAGTGATGGGGGGAGTGCAGTTTCTGGGAGAGCAAAGCAGAGGTATTTTAGCCACTTTAACCTTTTGGAGGGCGGGACAAAACAGTGATGGGGGGAGTGCAGTTTCTGGGAGAGCAAAGCAGAGGTATTTTAGCCACTTTAACCTCTTGGAGGGCGGGACAAAACAGTGATGGGGGGAGTGCAGTTTCTGGGAGAGCAAAGCAGAGGTATTTTAGCCACTTTAACCTCTTGGAGGGCGGGACAAAACAGTGATGGGGGGAGTGCAGTTTCTGGGAGAGCAAAGCAGAGGTATTTTAGCCACTTTAACCTCTTGGAGGGCGGGACAAAACAGTGATGGGGGGAGTGCAGTTTCTGGGAGAGCAAAGCAGAGGTATTTTAGCCACTTTAACCTCTTGGAGAGCGGGACAAAACAGTGATGGGGGGAGTGCAGTTTCTGGGAGAGCAAAGCAGAGGTATTTTAGCCACTTTAACCTCTTGGAGGGCGGGACAAAACAGTGATGGGGGGAGTGCAGTTTCTGGGAGAGCAAAGCAGAGGTATTTTAGCCACTTTAACATCTTGGAGGGCGGGACAAAACAGTGATGGGGGGAGTGCAGTTTCTGGGAGAGCAAAGCAGAGGTATTTTGGCCACGTTTAACATCTTGGTGGGCGGGACAAAACAGTGATGGGGGGAGTGCAGTTTCTGGGAGAGCAAAGCAGAGGTATTTTGGCCACGTTTAACATCTTGGTGGGCGGGACAAAACAGTGATGGGGGGAGTGCAGTTTCTGGGAGAGCAAAGCAGAGGTATTTTGGCCACGTTTAACATCTTGGAGGGCGGGACAAAACAGTGATGGGGGGAGTGCAGTTTCTGGGAGAGCAAAGCAGAGGTATTTTGGCCACGTTTAACATCTTGGTGGGCGGGACAAAACAGTGATGGGGGGGGGGGGGTGGGGGGGTAGTGCAGTTTCTGGGAGAGCAAAGCAGAGGTATTTTGGCCACGTTTAACATCTTGGAGGGTGGGACAAAACAGTGATGAGGAGTGCAGTTTCAGGGAGAGCAAAGCAGAGGCAGAATTCTGCAAATGTGGATTCAAGACACTGAAGAAGCATTGGCTATGAAAGCACATAGTGCTGGAAAACTGGTCTGAGAAGGAGAGACTTTGAGGTGTGTCGTGACGAGAGTGATGTTCTGTAAAGGACGTGCTGACTGATGATGAAAGACCCTTATGTAATGTGACCACAATTAACATCACTGCACATTGGGCATTCTGATGCTTGTGCAGTAGTCTCCCAATGCTGCAGCTACTCTTAGGTACCTTTATTGAAGGTTTCCATGAGGCGCCGGTTACGTCTCCTGTTTTGGCTTCGAAAATATGCTTCACTTCCAGGGGATGCAACTGTGTAGGCGATTGGCAACTCTGGTATATAATGCCAGACTCTTATGTTTTATAGACCTACTGGCATTTGATGAGTCACGTAGGCAACATTACACCATCTACCTTTACTCCCAGAGAATTATCTGGTACTCAGTTTAAGCTGGGTTGAACTGGGAGCCAAGGTGATTCTAAAAAAGTCAGAGACTGGGTGTGGATTTAAACCCAAGACCTTGGTACTGTTAGCCAAGCATCCTTTTAAGGGCAAACAAAGGTGAGGATGTAACCACAAAAAAAAAAAAAATATATATATATATATATAGTGTACGACTCAGCCAGCATTTGTAAACGGACAGATCCAATGTCAGGAGGAGGGGTCGAAGGAGGGAAGAGAAGGAGGAATATCAGATGAAAGAAACATTCCCAGTATACCATACCTTCTCTGTCTCATATGGCTGAAGAACGCCCTTCAGGGGAGATAACTGAAATACTTCATAGTCCACACGGAATAAGCTGTGAGGGTTGTCTGGGAGCTGCGGAGAAGATAGATAAACACACACACAAAAACTGTTATGTAATCATCACAATGGAATAACACGCTAAAGAAATAATCCTTGCTCTGTGTTTCATGTGCTGGTCTAAGCCTTGCTTGTATATCTCGTGTTTCTAGGAGTACTCACATTCTCATGCATTTCTCTCTTATCTCAAAGTTACTCATATATTATTGTTTACAGAATTCCCTTAAGGAAAATACCTACATTACATACTGTGATGAGACATGGTGACAATGTGAATTACAGATGTTGACCGTGAGGATTGGTACTGTGATGAGACATGGTGGTACTGAGGATGACAGATGATGACAGTGAGGATTGGTACTGTGATGAGACATGGTGGTACTGAGGATGACAGATGGTGACAGTGAGGATTGGTACTGTGATGAGACATGGTGATACTGAGGATGACAGATGGTGACCATTAGAATTGGTACTGTGATGAGACATGGTGATACTGAGGATGACAGATGGTGACCATTAGGATTGGTACTGTGATGAGACATGGTGATACTGAGGATGACAGATGGTGACAGTGAGGATTGGTGCTGTGATGAGACATGGTGATACTGAGGATGACAGATGGTGACCATTAGGATTGGTGCTGTGATGAGACATGGTGATACTGAGGATGACAGATGGTGACAGTGAGGATTGGTACTGTGATGAGTCATGGTGACACTGAGGATGACAGATGGTGACCGTGAGGATTGGTACTGTGATGAGACATGGTGATACTGAGGATGACAGATGGTGACCGTGAGGATTGGTACTGTGATAAGACATGGTGATACTGAGGATGACAGATGGTGACAGTGAGGATTGGTACTGTGATGAGTCATGGTGACACTGAGGATGACAAATGGTGACAGTGAGGATTGGTGCTGTGATGAGACATAGTGATACTGAGGATGACAGATTGTGACCGTTAGGATTGGTACAGTGATGAGACATGGTGATACTGAGGATAACAGATGGTGACCATTAGGATTGGTACTGTGATGAGATATGGTGATACTGAGGATGACTACTGTGACAGATGGTGACCGTTAGGATTGGTACTGTGATGAGACATGGTGATACTGAGGATGACAGATGGTGACAGTGAGGATTGGTACTGTGATGAGACATGGTGATACTGAGGATGACAGATGGTGACAGTGAGGATTGGTACTGTGATGAGACATGGTGATACTGAGGATGACAGATGGTGACAGTGAGGATTACTACTGTGATGAGACATGGTGGTACTGAGGATGACATATGGTGACCATTAGGATTGGTACTGTGATGAGACGTGGTGGTACTGAGGATGACAGATGGTGACAGTGAGGATTGGTACTGTGATGAGAAATGGTGACACTGAGGATGACAGATGGTGACAGTGAGGATTGGTACTGTGATGAGACATGGTGGTACTGAGGATGACAGATGGTGACCATTAGGATTGGTACTGTGATGAGACATGGTGGTACTGAGGATGACAGATGGTGACAGTGAGGATTGGTACTGTGATGAGACATGGTGATACTGAGGATGACATATGGTGACCATTAGGATTGCTACTGTGATGAGACATGGTGGTACTGAGGATGACAGATGGTGACAGTGAGTATTGGTACTGTGATGAGACATGGTGACACTGAGGATGACAGATGGTGACAGTGAGGATTGGTACTGTGATGAGACATGGTGATACTGTGGATGACTACTGCCACAGTGAGGATTGGTACTGTGATGAGACATGGTGACACTGAAGAAGACTACTGTGGCAGACACAGTGAGGATTAGAACTGTGACAAGATTACAAAATGAGCATAATGACCTACCGTAACATATGGTGAAGCAAAGGGTGCAAGTTTCCAGGTCAAAGGTTCTGTGCCGACATTGGTGAAGGTGTACACTTCCTCTGAGCAAAGAAATAAAGAAGTTTCATGAAAAACTATATTTCTGACACTGACCGACAGTTTATCATCATCAAGTGGCATGCCAAATGGTGCCAGAGATAATATCCCTCAACAACTACCTGTCTTCTATGATTGTCTTTACATCTCACCACTGATTCTATTCTATATAGCTCTGTCAGCTACCCCCTCCCCCAAACAAAAAAGTGACTGAAAAGAAAACCTTAAAAAAAAAAAAAATACAAAGCATTATTAACACGAATTTGGAGAAAGACTTCCACATAAATCAAAGTGTCAATTAAAATCCTTACCTGTTTATTTTATTAAGTTTTAAAAAAATATGTTATTTATAATTAAACTGGCAGCTGCTGTGGTGTAGAGGCTAGATGCTGGCCTGCAGATCTGAAGGTCGTGGGATCAAATCCCCTCAAAAATGACCTATAGTATATTGGTCTAGCACTATATGCACAATATGACTGAAGGCATGAAACAATTATTTCAAGAACAAATACACCCTTAATGGGGGTCTCACTAACATAAACAGGATCCATATTTTCTTCATTCGGAGCACATATGCCAGAGGCCAACAGTCTGCATACAGTCAACTTCATCTGGAAAACGCAACATTCAAGCTCTTAAGACCAAAGTCTAGACAAAGAAGACCAGAATTCACAGCTGGTGACTGCATAAGAAAAAGCCATAATCACTACAGTTGTTAAGTCAGTCAGTCAACAGAGTATCCTCATTGCACAGTCAATAAGTGCTCGGATTCCATCCTCAGTAAATCCTCCCACGTGTAGGGGCTAATGACACCAGTTCTGTGTTAGTTTTTTTTAAATTAGTCACCTTATTCACTGGCTGTAGACACTGTGGAAAGTTCTGGTAGTTCATCCACTTTTGGACTTTAGTCTTGCTGCAGAACTTGAGTTTTGTGTGTGCATATACATTTTACAGATCTTGCTTACTGTAAGCAGACTGATTGTTCTCTGCCTCTCAAGCAGACGCACTCCAGATCTGAAGGAAACACCTCTAAATGGTCGACTTTTACAACATGCTGTTCTCATTTCCCTTCCTCCAACTCCAAATGGGGCCCCGGAACCCACATTGGTAAGTTTCTTATTTATTCTTCTTTGACTTCCTGTATAGTGCTCTTCCAATTCCAACAAAAATTCCAAATTTGATCCTTTTTCAGCATCCTGGTATATGAAGGAAGGTTCCTTGGCTGTCTTATTTGGTTTCCTTTGATTTGTGGTGTGAAGCCACACCTGATATTTCTGTTCTTTGTCTTCCTAAGTCCGGTGTGATACTTGGGGTTTTGGGTCTGGTCTGGTCCAGTTCACTGGACCAGTGCAGTGCTCTGGTCTGACTATGCCCTTGTCCGTGCAGTCTGGTCATGACTGCTTATTCACAGTCACTTGATTATCGCAAACATCTTATTTCTTGTAGAGCATTCAACACATTAGACAGGTCTATGGCACATCCGACCCCATTAGTAGCCTTACCTGCAATACCTAAGTAGCACCACTCACAAACATCTCACCTCGTCTAGCTCCAGCTTCTGTGGTTCCCATAGTCGTCACCTCTAGACCCTGTATCCTCTCACTGTGACCCTCTCTATCCTCCGCAGACACCGGCGAGTTACGGCTGGCAGGCTCTGCAAATTTCCCAGACTGTTGTTGCCTGGGTACAGTGCCTCTGTCACAATCCAAGTTTATGGGTTTTCTTGTGGGTGCTGGAGCTGTTGTAGACTTGATGGCAGGAGTGGACAGGGAGGGAGCTCTGTCAGCGGAAGGACGTGGTGATGGCTTTGGAGATGCTCTGTCTGGAGTAGCTTTAATATTCACCTTGACCAACTGAATGGTTTTTGTTGGGTGGTGGTGAGTAGGAGAAACAGATACACATTTAAACAATGAACAATATGCAACATTTCTTGCTAGAGTCCAAGAAATAGCAACAATATATAACACTATTTTCTAGAGTGTAAGAAATGTTAACAACATTAACAATATACAACTTCATTTCTCAGCTTCCATTCTCTTTTTGTGGAATATATTTCTCAACTTCTGTTGTCTATATGTGGAATACATTTCTCAATTTTTGCTATCTATTTGTGGAATACATTTCTCAACTTTTGTTATCTATATGTGGAATATATTTCTCAACTTTTGTTATCTATATGTGGAATACAGTTCTCAACTTTTTTGCAAAATACATTTCTCAACTTTTGTTATCTATATGTGGAATTCATTTCTCAACTTTTGTTATCTATATGTGGATTTTATTTCTCAGCTTTTGTTATCTATATGTGGAATACAGTTCTCAGCTTGTTATCTTTATGTGGAATATATTTCTCAACTTTTTTGCAGAATACATTTCTCAACTTTTTTTGCAGAATACATTTCTCAACTTTTTTTGCAGAATACATTTCTCAACTTCTGTTATCTATATGTGGAATACATTTCTCAACTTTTGTTATCTATATGTGGAAAACATTTCTCAACTTTTGTTATCTATATGTGGAATATATTTCTCAACTTTTGTTATCTATATGTGGAATATGTTTCTCAACTTTTGTTATCTATATGTGGAATACAGTTCTCAACTTTTTTTTGCAAAATACATTTCTCAACTTTTGTTATCTATATGTGGAATACATTTCTCAACTTTTGTTATCTATATGTGGAATATATTTCTCAACTGTTGTTATCTATAAGTGGAATACAGTTCTCAACTTTTTTGCAAAATACATTTCTCAATTTCTGTTATCTATACGTGGAATACATTTCTCAACCTCTGTTATCTTTTCTTGTGTTCCTATAACCCATTTTACTAATATCTGTACTTGAACTCATTCTGACCCATAGCTGTAATACACTCGTACCTCAGTATACGTTCTTAAACCGTTCGAGATCTTTTACACCATACAGGACATAGACCAAACTAATTTTCTTCTAAGAAATAAAAGTAGTATGATTAATCTGTTACCATGAAAAAATCCTATTATTACTGGCATATCATGAGGCATTTTCATACTTTTGTCACCTCCCTGGTGATCCTAACCATTTTTTTCGTTGCTTGGCTGTTCTCATTAACTTTTTTGAGAACTTATAGTTAATAAGTTTACTAACAATTTCCATGAGAAAATGGTGTTATAGCAGTTGGTGATCACTGAATGGTGGTAACTGACATACTGATGCTCTCAGGCAGTCACAGCATTGTCTCAAGAGAGGTAAACAAGGGTAGCACGTGGTGTCGTGACTCATACAGGTTCTAGCATGCAAGCTGTATTCCAAACATTTGTTTGCTTCTAAACAGGGTGGATACATTAGACTTAGTAGAAAGTGGATTTATACAGAGGTACATTTTCATTCCTTTACACCGGGAGTGGACCTTTCTTTGGTCCTTCAAACACAATATTTTTCTGGGATAATCCAAGATTATAATCCCTTGCTACGACCCCATATGTTAAAAGCAGGTTTTATCTCTATGTAAAATTTTCATAGCTCACCACAGCCCAGCGACCTCATAGAAAACCCACAGTATAACTGGTCATGTTCACTACCGGCTCGAGCCTGTCTTATCCTATAATTTCTAAGGACAGGAGGCATCTAAACTCCATGGACACAGTGCTGGGGACTCAAATTTCCCCAAGAGACTTACTTAAAGACTTACCTGAGGATTGGAAAGAGCTAAACTCCCTGAGCACAGTGCCTAGGTCTCAAATTTCCCCAAGAGACTTACTTAAGGACTGAAAGGAACTAAACTCCCAGGGTGCAGTGCTGAGCTCTCAGATTGTCCTATAAGGTCAACTTACTTTAAGATTAACTTATGATATTTTTAAATTAAAAAAAGAAAGAAAGAAAGAAAAAACCCAACAGCGAAGCCAGTTGTATGTTTTGCTGATTTGTTCCTACCTGAGTCTGTTGCAAACAGCTGACTCTGATCACAGTCTGATAAGTTGAGTCCTTCACAGAGAAGCTTGTGAGGTTGTTACAGACATCCAGCAGTGCTGTGTTCCTGTGTAGATCAAAGTTTCCTCTGAATGGCAGCCAGATCATTTAATGGTAACAAATATTGTAAATTTAAATATTGGAGAAATTATTTAGTGGGTTCCTGGGGGAGAAAACAGGCCACTCCTCCCTGACCAATATGGTGTAAGGCTGAAGTGTACAGAAATTGGATGTGTTTTGGATAAAGGCCCTGATACTGTAGCCCAGCTGTAAACCCCAACACAATGTGCCAACCACTATTTTAAGGAAAGATATAAAACCAATTGAAAAATAGACCAGCAAGCTTCACAGTGTAACAAAACACAAATGGAGAAGTTACAGAAAGAAGAGAAAAGGAAAAATACTGATTTCTCATGCTCCAAGTACTGAGGGGGAATTGGCTCACAAACAGTATCCTTTCTCCTAAAATGAAATACTCTGACCAAAGTAAACGTCATAATGGTTTGGGGAGAACAGTAAAGGAGGACCCTGGGCATGAAAGTTCATGCATTGGTAAAGAGATGGCTTAATAGTGTATGGTTTGCAAATAGACACAATTCAAACACTTAGAATAAAGAAATGCTACAGAAAGTAAAATTTTAAAAAACATCTTACATTCGTGGTACAATACCCTTAGACGGAACAACTGTGATGTACTTTTTATCAAACTCTACAGAAAATCTGAAATAGAATCACAAGACAGAATCAGTGCCAAACATCAAGTGATCACTAAATAGTTATGCCTATTTCCAAAAAACATAGTCAAAAAAGGGTCCTATTGTCTTGAGATCCGATGCTTTTCGGTATCTTCTTCATTGCTGCAGATATCACCTACAGCATTCATCTGTCTGGTTGGCCCTCTCTTCCCAGCTGGTGACTCTAAGTGTTTGTGGACGTCTGGATATTATCCCTCCATCATCTTCATGGTCTGCCTTGAAGTCTACAAGCATTCAGCTTCCTTGTGTATACATTTGTGGGTGCGCGTGTGCATTCAGGCCTTTCAGTATGAAATGCACACAATTTTAAAATACTGCATAGGTAAATTCTTTCCTGACATCTTGGCAACGGTTTGAATGTCTATCCCTTTTGGGGGCAAAAAAATGAAGGTTTTACTTCCATGCTTTCTGATGAATCGGATTCCTGTGTGGGTTTAGGGGCGACACTTTGGAAAGAAGAAGAAGAAAAACAGACCCATTGCATGTTGTCAAAAGTGACTTACTGGGGATTTTCCTCCAAAGTCAGAGCAAATCAGCCTGAACCAACAGTTTGCATACAAGTAAGCCAGATCTGTAAATCGGATGTGCACACACACAATTCATGTTCTGGAATCAAACTAGAGTCTAGAAGTGGAAGAACAACCAGAAGTTTGTTTCTGACAGAGTTGACAGCTAGTCAAGGCAAAGAAGATGATGAACTGGGCACTGGGTTCTAAACAACTACTGCAAGCAGCAAATGGCTTTCTGTGGATGGTGTGGCCAGCATAACATCAGGCAAGTTTACATCCTACAGTAGATCTTATTTAGGCTGGATTGACTCCAGAATAAGGGTCACCTCGGTGGCAACTTGGAACCTCTCTGGACAAGTATGAAAAGGTCTCGTGTACATCATGTACGTTAAAAAACTCGTTGGCTACTTGAAGCTGAAAAGGGAGATCTCTGTTCTGTGTCAGATTATCATAACGAATCTGCAGATCCTATAGTGATAAATGTCATGCCAGCCACCTTTACTTTCTAGAAAATGTCCTTAAACTCATTCAACAGGGTGTCCCATAAGTTTCCATACTGCTGCTTTGAAAACACCTTTTGATGTGTTCTCCGTAGCTGAAGAACACGTATTAAGCACAGCTGGAGTTACACTTGTAACAAATGGCGGTAAGATGTTTCTTGTTCCTATGTACGAAAACTTATGGGGCGTCCTGTAAATTAAATCCACCAAGCAGTAATAATACTATCAGCACTATTGTATGTATGCCCTTGAGAATCAGCTGTACATACATGCCGTGATTGTAACTGACACACAGAGCATGCTGAGAAATGTGAAAACGGGCAAGCTTTGTGCACAGTGGCAAGCATCACTTCAGAAGTCCCGGGTAGTTAGCATCCTTTAGATATTTTCTACAGGTCATGCCAGTGTGTTGGGAAATTAGCAGGCAGATAGACTGGCTGACTCTGCACCATATGGTGGTGAACTGACAGTTAGAAATAGTAAGGGCCCTTTTAGAGCGAGTGAACAGTGCGGAGGCGAAGATAGATCAGTATGGTCTAAGGGCGCTGCGAGGAGTTACCAGGGAATCTGGCCAACGCTCAACACTCAGGGGAGGGATGAGACGGACATACAATCAGACGGTTACTGGTACCGTCGGAACTGGAACTCTTCGCCTGCTGCTGAAGATGGGGACTGAGCACTTATAGGAGTGTCCCGAGTGCTGTGATGTCGATTCTTAATTCAACATTCATATGTATACCCGTGCAAGGTTAAACACGCAGAGCTGAAACAGCTAGCAGGACAATGACACAGGTGTAAGAGAAAGTTAGATGCTTACTGTAGCTCATTAGTGGAGAAGTTGATCACTTGGATGAAGTCTCGAACTTTCAAGTCCCCGCCTGAAATATACAAAAACTCTATGATGAAAACAACAGCCAGATATGTTCTGTTCAGTGAAATGGTGCCACAACAGTGTTGCGGCACATAACATTAACCAGGTTTCGGTTGCATTTGACCACTTGTATTTTTCAGTCACAAAACAACTTATAAGGCACATCGTCGGGAGAAACGGACACAGAATCCTGAACAGGCAAATGAGAAATAAAAAGGCAGAGAAGATGAGGACGTCTAAGTCTAAGAGAAACCCACAGATGAATGTCGTTGAGAGAGGCCAAAGGTGCTGGACTGCATGAAATGAAATGAATGCACATGATGGGACAAAACGAAGGACTAGACTACAAGCTCCATGTGATGTGTAATAGTACAACATGGTGTTGATGATGATGATAGTTTCGTTTGGTTTAGTTTTAACACCTTCATTTTTACTATACAATTTCCCCTTTGTGGGCTCTGGACTCCCTTGTGGGCGGGGGGTGTGGGGTGGCGCGCACAAGAATAGACTCACTGCCTACCTAACAAGCATGATGCAGGAGTCAAGGAGAGGCAAGGAACCAACAGTCTGTAAATAGGCCGGATCTGTAAAATGGGTGCACGTGCAAAACTCAAGTCTCTGAAAAACGCCAAAGCTATAAATGGACATTCACCAGGACTTCCCGCCTGAGCTTACAGTCGGGCAAGCAAACAAACACTATACAATTTTAAAAAACAACAAATAACACTGGTCAATGACATTTAACCTTTTCTTCTTCAAACAAAATTTTTTTAAATTAACGCAACACAAAGAATATTTGTTAAAGTAGCAACTTCTTCTTCTTCAGCGATCTCTGGTCATGCGCATAATCCACTGTGGGTCATAAACTGGGATGTCTTTTCAAGGTCTCTTAGGTTTCCCCAAAGCTTAGTTGTCAGTTCTACTGGGTGTTGCCATATGTCGCTCCGCAGCTCCGCCAGGAGAGGACAGTCTTGCAGGACATGTTCTGGAGTCTGTTCAGCAAGAAGGCACTGGCAGAGAGCTGTTTGGCTCTTACCTAATTTATGTGAGTGTTTATTGAGTCTGCAGTGTCCAGTGCATAAGCGAAAAACTGTGACTTGGTCTGTTCTGTTCAAGTGTTTCATAAAATCTTTTCCGTAGTTATAACCAGTGTTGGTTTTCCAATCTGTTTCTGATTTTCTCTTAATGAGAGTTTTGACTTCTAGAAAAGATAGTGGCTGGTAGGTCTGTGGTTTGTTACTGCCTTCCTTGGCTAAAGCATCAGCGCTTTCATTGCCTTTGATGCCACAGTGAGACGGAATCCACTGCAAGTGAATTTCTGCCTTATTTGACAAAAAGTAGCAACTAATAATAACTGTGTTAAAGCAGTTTACTGTCAAAATGACTACATCAGCACTTAGTCCTCTCACTGATTGATTATGGGCTACGAATCCTCAGTCTCAAAGAGTTGACTGGTTAAACTAGAGTGCATACAAATGCTGAATGCTGCTTTGCGGGTGCTACATATTTATGAGCTGCAACCATGACCAGGCAGCAAAAACAGCCAGTTAAACGGGCATGGTCAAACAAGAGCACTATGCAGGAAGCCAAAGAAGAAGAATAAACCAACATAGAACTGTGTCGCCAGCTGCTGGAATGACTGAGGAGGGGATCTGAGCACTTAAGGATAGAATGGTTTAATGTGCAATGAGGATGAGCTTACTGATTAACCAACTAACCAACCATTGCAATCCCAAATAAGATGGAAACACAGACCAGTGAAATGAAGCTCGGCTGGATTCAGTGCCCACATCTTTTTACTGCTGTCCATTGGCTTGATGTTTGCATCGACCGGGGTTAGCACTGACCTCTGACTGGACGCTGGCCTGGGGAAGGAACAGCATTCTGTTTAAAGATCTGTTAATGATAAACATCTAATCAGACGCTGTCTACCAGGTTAATCAAAATATTGGTGGGAAATGAAGAATACTGCCCTCTACTGTTTAACTGAGACACTGCCATCTTTTACAGGATAAAGCCCCGTGAAATTATATTTTGTTGTTGAATAATTAATGGGTAGCTAAAATTCCTTTGAATGTTGAATCAACATTATAGCACTTGGGACACCACCATAGGCGCTCCACCCTCATCTTCAGCAGCAAGCGAAGAGTTCCAATTCTGAAAATGCCTTTAAGAATATTTACAGTATGTGTGACTATGGACCATCCACTTTTACCTATTTCTCTAAGTATGAGACTGCCCCATATATATATGATGAACCTGGATTTTGGGACCAGAAATTTGGAGAGACAAAATAATATAATTACACAAAGTTGTTGAACACGTTTCATTCATCACAGAATCTGGACAAATCCTCATCACTGCCAAAACTCTCATCCATATGATAGTTCTTAAGCTTGTCCTCGTCTGTGTCTGATGACGAATCAACCTCGTCTGTGTCTGATGACATATCAACCTCATCTGTGTCTGATGACATATCAACCTCATCTGTGTCTGATGACATATCAACCTCATCTGTGTCCGATGACATATCAACCTCATCTGTGTCTGATGACATATCAACCTCATCTGTGTCCGATGACATATCAACCTCATCTGTGTCTGATGACATATCAACCTCGTCTGTGTCTGATGACATATCAACCTCATCTGTGTCCAATGACGTATCAACCCCGTCTGTGTCTGATGGCATATCAACCTCATCTGTGTCTGATGACATATCAACCTCGTCTGTGTCTAATGACATATCAACCTCATCTGTGTCCGATGACGTATCAACCTCGTCTGTGTCTGATGGCATATCAACCTCGTCTGTGTCTGATGACGAATCAACCTCGTCTGTGTCTGATGACGAATCAACCTCGTCTGTGTCTGATGACATATCAATCTCATCTGTGTCCAAAGACGTATCAACCTTGTCTGTGTCTGATGACATATCAACCTTGTCTATGTATGATGACGTATCAACCTCGTCTGTGTCTGATGATATATCAACCTCGTCTGTGTCCAATGACATATCAACCTCGTCTGTGTCCAATGACGTATCAACCTTGTCTGTGTCTGATGACATATCAACCTCATCTGTGTCCAATGACGAATCGACCACGTCTGTATCTGATGACGTATCAACCTCGTCTGTGTCCAATGACATATCAACCTTGTCTGTGTCCAATGACGTATCAACCTCGTCTATGTCTGACGACGTATCAATCTTGTCTGTGTCTGACGATGTATGAACCTTGTCTGTGTCTGATGACGTATGAACCTTGTCTGTGTCTGATGACGTATCAACCTCGTCTGTGTCTGATGAGGAATCAACCTCGTCTGTGTCTGATGACGAATCAACCTCGTCTGTGTCTGATGACGTATCAACCTCGTCTGTGTCTGATGACATATCAACCTCATCTGTGTCCAAAGACGTATCAACCTTGTCTGTGTCTGATGACATATCAACCTTGTCTATGTATGATGACGTATCAACCTCGTCTGTGTCTGATGATATATCAACCTCGTCTGTGTCCAATGACATATCAACCTCGTCTGTGTCCAATGACGTATCAACCTTGTCTGTGTCTGATGACATATCAACCTCATCTGTGTCCAATGACGAATCGACCTCGTCTGTATCTGATGACGTATCAACCTCGTCTGTGTCCAATGACATATCAACCTTGTCTGTGTCCAATGACGTATCAACCTCGTCTATGTCTGACGACGTATCAACCTTGTCTGTGTCTGACGACGTATGAACCTTGTCTGTGTCTGATGATGTATGAACCTTGTCTGTGTCTGATGACGTATCAACCTCGTCTGTGTCTGATGACGTCTCGTCTGTGTCTGATGACATAACAACCTTGTCTGATGACATATCAACCATGTCTGTGTCTGATGACGTATCAACCTCGTCTGTGTCTGATGATGAATCAACCTCGTCTGTGTCTGATGATGAATCAACCTCGTCTACGACTGATGACAAATCAACCTTGTCTGTGTCTGATGACAAATCAACCTCGTCTGTGTCCGATGACAAATCAACCTCGTCTGTGTCCGATGACAAATCAACCTCGTCTATGTCCGATGACGTATCAACCTCATCTGTGTCTGATGACATATCAACCTCGTCTATGTCCAATGATGTATTAACCTCGTCTGTGTCTGATGACATATCAACCTCGTCTGTGTCTGATGACGTATAAACTTTGTCTGTGTCCAATGACGTATCAACCTTGTCTGTGTCCAATGACGTATCAACCTCGACTGTGTCTGATGACAAATCAACCTCGTCCGTGTCTGATAATGATTCAACCTCATCTGTGTCTGATGACATATCAACCTCGTCTGTTTCTGATGACATATCAACCTCGTCTGTGTCTGATGACATATCAACCTCGTCTGTGTCTGATGACATATCAACCTCGTCTGTGTCTGATGACATATCAACCTCGTCTGTGTCTGATGACGTATCAACTTTGTCTGTGTCCAATGACGTATCAACCTTGTCTGTGTCCAATGACGTATCAACCTCGACTGTGTCTGATGACAAATCAACCTCATCCGTGTCTGATAATGATTCAACCTCATCTGTGTCTGATGACATATCAACCTCGTCTGTTTCTGATGACATATCAACCTCGTCTGTGTCTGATGACATATCAACCTCGTCTGTGTCTGATGACATATCAACCTCGTCTGTGTCTGATGACAAATCAACCTCGTCTGTGTCTGATGACATATCAACCTCGTCTGTGTCTGATGACATAACAACCTCGTCTGTGTCCGATGATAAATTACTGTCTTGATACATTGTCTCATCCTCAGAATCTATCTGAGGCACCTGAAATGACACACTTCTTGAAGGACTTGACAACGATCTCAATCTTCACATCATCCCAGGTTCTTTTCATTCAGGTACAAACTTCTCCTAAATTTGGTTTCTTCACACTGTCTGCTGCTGTCAAATTGTTCTTATACTTCATGTTGCCCCTGAACCGACATTCCGAAATGAGGCCCTGTACAGGATATTTTCTAACAAATCATTTTGTAAAAATCTACTATTATTGCATAAGATGCATAGTTTTTAGTCTATAGTTTTGGAAAATAAGTGCGTCTTATGCTTGCAGATATAAGGCAGATCCTCCCTGTTGCTGCAGAGTTTGTATGCTATGCTGACGTTTTATTTGCATGATACTGGGAAGGAGACGGAAGAAATGAAGATGTTCACACAGAATGAACATGATCCTTAACCACAATAATCTCTTATCTACAGGAGATTAAAACTCACATTCTTCTTCTTCTACATTTAAGCATTAAAAAGGGAGGTTAGCACATATTGTTGTTTACAGCTTGGTTGAGATATCTGTGCATTTCGGCCCAATATATAATTTCAGAAAACCTCTAATTAATAGTCCGTCTGTTTTTTTCCATTCAGGCTGCAGTGACGTTGACTGTTATAACACACAGGCTTTCTAAACTTGTCATGTTAATGAAACACTCTTTAAGACAAACATAATTTTGCAACACAGTAATTCAGTCTACTAGCAAACAGAGTTTAGTTTATAAACTAACTAATTATGAAACATTTCACAAAACAGCTTCACAGTGTGGCTGACAAATTAATGTGTCCTGACACACAGTTTGGAAAGCTCTGACATAAGACAACATAACATACCTGTTGAGATATGGTTCCACTCTGGATGTTGTGTTCCTGACAGTTGAGACTTGGTTTTCCAAAGGAACTCCATACAATCCAATCTTGTTCACTGACATGCCTTTCTTGAGTGCAGAATAGCTATCTTCTGGTAAGGGCAAGCCTTTCACTTTAGAATGGAGGGAAACAAAGTTGAAATAAACATGGCAGCTACTTGAGATTGAATGTCGCTGCGGTGTTGGCGGCTAGATGCCCGCATGCGGATCGGAAGGTCATCGATTCGGGTCCTGACAGAGCCGATTTGTTTTCAACAAATGACCTTGACTCTCAGGCCGACCCAGCCTTGAGTGGGTACCAGGTGCAGTCCTGCGAAATAGAGGCAGCCGGTGTGATGCTGACCACATCACCCACCCAGTGCCGACTGACCTATAAAAATTCAGGTCTAGCCCTTTACTCCCAATACGCTTAAAGGGTGGAAAAGGGACCTTTACTTTACTTTTACTTGGGATTCTGAAGCTACAGGGCGAGTCAGAAATATGGATACCTGTTTAAAATCAATGCAGAATATTACTTACATTTTACAGGGAAATTATGGATGGTGACACCATACCATACAAAGCATACATGGAAAGAGAAGGACGTAGAGCAAGAGGTAGACCAAGAACAAGATGGAAGGATAACATCAGAGAAGCTCTACAACAGCACGATGTGCCTATGGTCGAGGCAGCCAGAAGAGCCAGAAACAGAACCTTATATCTCCCTCGACACCCACAGCGGTAAAAGAGGAAGTGAAGAAGAAGATGGATGGTATATCACCAAAAAAAACACAGCTTTTGTTCATTGCAGGTAAATGTCATGCGTGTTAAAGATCACAAATTAGAACAAGTCAATCCTTTCAAATATAAATTATCCATTTGAAGTGACCTAGGGTCCAGACCAGAAATCAAATCTAGGATTCCTCAGACATCATCAGTCCATGCAAAAAAAATAGCAAATATTTTTGGGGGAAGAACACACATAATGTGGACCGTAAAAGCTGAACTCAAAAAGAAGATAGAAGCACTGGAAATGAGTCAACAGCAACTGGTGACCCAACGACATGCAGTGTTACGGGCCAATGATGATGATGATGAAGGCAAAAGTCATGTGCCTGAGTATATTGTTAGTGCGAAGAATTGCCTTGTCGATGGTCGCTAAACAAAGGGGGATTGGGGGGGGGGGTGTGTGTGAACACGACATTTTACTCAAGTGGAAATAAGTTAGTTGTGTATCCTTTACTCCTTTACAGGATGCTACAGAACCAACCCCAAATTTTTTTCTCATGTCTCTGATTTCACTAGGCGATTTACTGTTCAGTAATTTGCCATTTAAAGTCAAAAGCCGTTGAGTGTGAAGATTCTAGAACAATTAGCTTGATGAGCCATATAACAAAAATGCTTCTCAAGATCATTCAAGAAAGAATTCAAAATAAAATTAACAATGAAGTGTCTGAGGAACAGTTTAAATTTAGGAAATATAGTGGCACTAGGGAAGCCATACTTTGTTTAAAGATGCTGATTGAAAAATATATAGAAGTCCAGAAAAGTATGTATGCATGTTTCACAGATTACAAGAAGGCCTTTGACAGGGTGCAACATGAAAAGCTAACTGCATACCTCCAAAATATAGAATTAGATTGAAAGGATATGAGAATTATTAGTAACGTATACTGGGAACAAGTAGCAACAGTTAGACACAACAACATCACCTCACCACAGATAGAGATCAAATGAGGAGTATGTCAGGGATGTGTGTTATCCCCAAGCCTTTTCAACCTATTTACAGAAAACATTTTTAAACAGGTTGAGGAACTGCCTGGACTGAATATTAATGGAAGAATGATAAACAATCTGAGATACACAGATGACACACTACTAGCAGAAAGCGAGCAGGAGTTACAAAAACTAGTTGAATAAGTCAACAGGCTGAGTGCAGAGCATGTTTTAGACATTAACATTCAAAAAACAAAAACTATGGTTAATTAACAATGGAAAAGAGTAGCCAACAATGAACATCAAATTAAACAGACAGCTAATAGAAAAGTAACAAGTTTTCCCTATCTAGGACACGTAGTAACAGATGATGGAAGAAGGGAAACAGGAATCAAAAAGAGGATAGGAATGGCTAAACTATCTTCAATAAGATGCGCAAGTTACTGACAGCTAGAGAGATAATTAACATACTAAAAATGAAAATTGTCAAATGTTTTGTACACTCAACCCTGCTATATAGAGCAGAAACAAGAAGACTGAACAAACAACTAGAAAATTGAATTGAGTCTCTGGAGATGTGCGTATACACAAGAACAGGTCATATTTCATGGAAACAAAATCAGTCCAATACAGAGGTTCTGGAAAGGGTCCAAATGAAAAGAGAATTACTGAAAGATATAAAAAAGAGACAAGTGAAATACTTTGACCACATTAAAAGACATAACACCCTTTCAAAAACCATACTGGAGGGAAAGGTCAAAGGTAAGAGAGCAAGAGGTAGGCAACGATGCACAAGAGGCAATTTATTGCCTGGCAATTAACCTTAGACTGCATTTAGTAAGATGTAGTGGAACAAGAGGCATTTTTTTGTTTGGCAATTAACCCTGGACTCCAGTTAGTCAAACAAGCAGAGAAACTGCCTTGTTTTGCAAGCTTGGTGGTAAATTGCTGCACGAAAAGCTTGATGTTATCAAGGCCTTTTAAAAGCAAATGAACAGAGGAGAGGCACAAACAGATCATCCGACACTCAACACTCATGGGAAAGGCAAGACAAACATACAAGAATGGAGTGACCTGGACGACACTCAACTCTCATGAGGAAGACAGGAAGACATACAAGAATGGTGCAGTGAGGAGTAACCTGGCTGACACTCAACTCTCATGAGGAAGACAAGAATGACATACAAGAATGGTGCCATGGGGAGTGACCTGGCTGACACTCAACTCTCATGAGGAAGACAAGAATGACATACAAGAATGGTGCAGCGGGGAGTGGCCTGGCTGACACTCAACACTCATGGGAAAGACAAGAATGACATACAAGAATGGTGCAGCGGGGAGTGGCCTGGCTGACACTCAACAATCAAGGGGAAGATAAGAATGACATACAAGAATGGTGCAGCGGGGAGTGGCCTGGCTGACACTCAACACTCATGGGAAAGACAAGAATGACATACAAGAATGGTGCAGCGGGGAGTGGCCTGGCTGACACTCAACAATCAAGGGGAAGATAAGAATGACATACAAGAATGGTGCAGCAGGGAGTGACCTGACTGACACTCAACAATCAAGGGGAAGATAAGAATGACATACAAGAATGGTGCAGCGGGAAGTGACCTGGCTGACACTCAACACTCATGGGGAAGGCAAGACGGACATACAATCAGACTGCTACTGCTACCATCAGAACTGGAACTCTGTGCTGGCTGCTGAAGATAGGGACGGAGTGGTGTTGGAGTGTGCAAAGAGCTGTGAAGACAGTTGTTAACTCAGTTCAAATATAGAGAATACTTACTTTCTGCTTGGACAAGCTCCTTCTGCATGGAGGTCAAGGGTATGTCAAAGTCATGGACAAGCTTCTGTGACTGCTGACCAGGTTGGCTGTTGGACAAATGTGTGTTATGTTCTGTTCATAAAAAGTTTAACAATATTCTGTGTGCCTGTATGGATGTATATATGCATGTTATCATCATCGACTTTACTGAACACTTGGGGTGGGGAGAAGGGGGGGGGGGGGGCAAGCTGGGCGTTCAATCGTCCAATGCAGCAGCCACTTCAAGGTACTTCTACTAGTTGTTTCTATAAGAAGCTGGCTATGTCTCCTTTCACGACCACAAAGTCGGCACACAGCTTTTTAAAGATTTAAACCCAGGCCAATGCAGTCACAATGTATGCACATGTTTGTATACAATGCAGGCCACTTATGGTGATCTGGGACATGGCAAATTTCTATTGTGAAGAACAATTTGTTTATCCCTGGCAATTATCACATGCTTGAATTCTTATCGGGACAAGAGGAATTTCGGATAACAAGGGCTATTTTTGGGTACCTGAGTTCTCCCTATCAGATCTGCACTCCTTTTTGTCTGTGTGTGTATGTGTGCACGCTTGTGCATGCACACTTAACTCTTTAACTCTCTATAAAATGACATACATAATGGGTGCACTGTTGGTAAAAAAAAAAAAATGAACAGTAGCACTGTATAAAAAAAAAAAAAATTTAACATTACCAATGCAATGCATGAGGACTCAGCACAGACAGAAAATCACTAAACAAGCCCTGAAATGGAAAACAACTGGACTGAGGTCATAAGTACGTCCAAGAGAAACCATAACATGAAAGCTGAGAGAGGCCAAATGTGGTATAATGAATTCCATCCATGATACTGAAAGGAGTGCACAAAAAATAACAGCATGGAGGACTAGATTACGAGCCCTGATGACCTATAACAGCATGCCAGGATGATAAGAATAAGTTTATAAGTGAATACTCACAGAATAAAATGCTGTCTGGCAACCTCATCTCCCCAGGTCAGTTTGAGGATTGCCACAATGGCACACTCGTGCAAACACAGCTCTGCTTCTTTCTTTGATGGATTCATTGTTATGAACAAGTCCTAGAGAACAGAAATATCTGAAACTGTAACAGGAGGTGCAGAAGCAAAACAGTTCAATGGTCACATATTTTAAATCCATGAGAAGGTAGATTTTTAAAACTGGTCCCATCTCCAAGGCCAACTTTAGCCTTCTTCTTCTGTAGAATAAAGGACCCTTTTCTTTACGAGCCAGTCCTGGTAATAGTCAATCCTTGCCTTTTCTTACAGCAACCACAACCTTCATTACAGTTTTGTCCAAGCTATTATGGTGTTATTATGGCCAAAGTATTTTAGTTTTAGAGAAGGGATACTCATTATGAGCCTGTCCATATTTGGATCATACAGAACAACAACAGAAGATTACTTTTTTGTGGAAATAAATTAAATTACAGCTTTACTTAAAGAATAAAATGATAGGATTTTGATAAAGTTAATGAGGATCGACATAAATGCCCCGGCTTTTATCCCATATGACTCGGTATCTCTCTGCAGAACGGCAAGCCGCCTGCCGAGAGTGCCGCACACATCATAAACTCCGTAGCTCCAGCGAAGATCCCCAGGGATCTCCGTAAAAATTGCACTCATGAACTGAAGAGTGCATCCGTGAAATGAACCCACATTCTTCAGAGCGCGAGGCAAAGGGGTATGACCACTTCGCCACGGAGACCCCCTATTCAGGATTTAGAGATATACAGGAAATGGTAGGCCAAAGAAAAATATGAGGGGATTTAGAGAACAGCATAAGGCGAAGAGGAAGCTGCCGCAGTGTAGCAGCTAGACGTTTGCTTGCGGATCCGAAGGCCGGGGGTTCAAATTCGGACTGAGCCAGACTTTTTTTTCAGAAATGATCTCGACTCCTAGCCTTAAATGGTACCAGATAAGTTCTTGGGAAGTAAAAGTGGCCAGTGTGATACTAACCACATCACCCGCAGTGTGCCAACTAGTCTATAAACACAGATCTAGCACTATTTGCTCAATACACATGAAGGCATGGACAAGTTTTTTTTTTAATACGGCAAAAGGAGAAAAAAAATATAGTATTTAGAGATTCATAGGGCAGCATAAGGCAAAATAAAGTCAGCATTAGGGAAAGACAACAGGATGTATAAATGTAAGCCGGTAAAAAAGAACAAACACAAGATCACAATTCTTACACAAGTTTCATTTGCAGGCAAAATCAAAGCTGCTGGAATGACTGAGGCATGGGAAGTTGCAAATACTTGTCGTGATGTATCTGAAAAATGAAGGGGAGAAATATGTAGCTACCAAACTCTTGAAGTTTTATAGTAAACAAGAAACCTTTAGTAAGTTCAGGTTAAAGCCAAGAGGATCAATTTCATAGCACTGGGTTTGATCCCATATGGCTTAGTCTCTCTCAACAGAACAGCTAGCCACCTGCAGAGTGTCGCATAAAGCAGGAACTCCACAGCTCTGATGTTAGTTAGTTAGTTATTCCTCTTGTGCCAAAGATGGCGCATAGGGCAGAGGTCATAGCTTTCCACGTCTGTCGGTTTGTTGCCACTTGATGTAGGTCTTGAGTGCGACTGAGACCTATGGTTGAGCTCTCTCTTGTGATGGTTCTACGGAGAGTTTCTTTTGGTCTTCCCTGTTTTCTTTTACCCTCTGGTGACCATATGAAGGCTTGGTGGGGAAGTCTCTGAATGTCCATTCTGAGTACGTGACCGATGTAATTCCAGCGACGCATTCTAATAAAATCAGACACATATTTTTGTTTTGTTTCCTGTCTTATAGATGTATTGGACCTAAAGTCCGACCAGTGAACATTTAATAGCTTTCGGAGGCATCTATTCTCGCAGAGTGTCGCATAAAGCAGGAACTCCACAGCTCTGATGACAACCCAGGAATCTCCAAAAACTTCACTCTTGAATGAATGACTGTGAAACAATCCCATGACCTTCAGAGCACAAGGCAATCAACTTGATCACAACGAAGCTGCTTCTCACCCCCAAACTGATCGTAATTATAACTAATTATATTTACAAGACAGGAGAGCAGCTGGCCAAACAGTTAAAAGATTCTTTATTTTTTATTCACCCCAAACACAGAGAATCCCAGAGTTCCCCCGGAAAGTCCAATACTATAAGGGTGTTAGTTTGAAATGTACACCGACAACTAACCTTAACACCCCCCCCCCCCCCCCTCCCCAAACAAATTGTTTGGACTTTCCCTGAAAACCTAGTGTTTGGGGTGAATTTGAAAAAAAAAAAAAAACCAGAATGTTATGCAGGCGACCTGGGGCCAAAAACACACACTTTAACCTGCACAGTTAAAAAAGTAGTTTAAAAAAAAAGAGCAGTTTTACAGACAGCAGGTTGAGTCTTTCTTTTCCCCCACTGTTACGATAGTTGATGTCAAGTTTTTACAACTATTTTACCATATAAGGAAGCCTTGACGTAGCACACACGGACGCCAGTATTCCTGACCGTAAACTTGCGGACAACAGTTTGTTCTGGATACAGGTGACCAATGTCCAGGCTCAGACCTCCAGTGTCGTTCTGGTGAACCTCCTCTATTAGCACCTGGCTGCGTCCTCCATAGCCGCTGAGGGGAATCTGTCGATAAGCCGTGACTCAATTAAGGTAAATGTAAGGTTCCAGAGCATAAGGTAAAAGTAATGTGCAAGGTAAAAGTAATGTTCCCAAATTTACAAGGTGAAAGTAATGTCCTCAAATGGTCAAGGTAAAAGCAATGTCCCCACTGTATAAAGTAATGTCTCTACTGCACAAGGTGGAAGTAATGTCCCCAAATGTACAAGGTAAAAGTAATATCCTGACTGTAGGTGAAAGTAATGTCCCCACTGTACAAAGTAAAAGTAATGTCCCCCAGTGCATAAGGTAAAAAGTAATGTCTCCACTGTATAAGGTGGAAGTAATGTCCCACACTACATGATAAAAGTAATGTCCCACACTACATGATAAAAGTAATGTCCCACACTACATGATAAAAGTAATGTCCCACACTACATGATAAAAGTAATGTCCCACACTACATGATAAAAGTAATGTCCCACACTGTACAAGGTAAAAGTAATATCCCCAAATGTACATGGTAAAACATCAGAATTGCAATTGGCGATGAGGCATGTGAGAGCTTTGATCCACTAAAAATTGGAAGTAATTGTATCCCAGAACATAGATATTCAGATGACCCAGTTCTCCTTTCCAACAGTGTACAAGGTTCAGAAAAATTAATTCTGGCCGTCAAAAAGCACAGCGAAGAAGTGAATCTTTTTTCTTAATTTGAAAAAAAAGAAACATCATGTTCTTAGTAAATACAGCACACCAACCACACATCACAATCGAATATGAAGAAATAGAAAATGTCACAGATTTAGAATAACTTGGGCTCTTTAGTGAACAGTGGTGACTGCTGGAAAGAAGCCAGGAGAAGACTTACATTAGCAGTGCAGAGATTAAACAGCATAAAAAACCAACGGCAAAGTGCTAGTAAACTGGCTGAAGGAAAAAATCGTAAGATTGTGCATTTTTCCCGGACTCTCACTCAATCACTGAAAAAAAAAGATTGTCGCTTTTGAATTAAAATTTTACAGGAAAATTCCCAAGAATACCATGGATCAAGAAGAGGAAAAACACAAACATTCTGCACGAGTTGAACATCAAGAACTGACTCATAAACAGCATCCTGTCCTGAAAGTCGAAGTATTTTGGTCACATCAAATGTCATGGTGGCTTGGAAAAGACGGTGATGGAGGGTGCAACTCAGCAAAGATGGATACAGGACATTAAAGATGCACTGGCACTGAAAGCACATAGGGCTGTAGAGCTGGCTAGGGAAAGGGATACTTTCAGGTGTGCGGTGAAGAGAGCGACGTTCTGTAAAGGACTTGCTGATTAATGATGACATTGTAAAGGAAATGTCCATAGTGTACTAGGTAAAAAGTAATATCTCCACTGTAGAAGGTAAAAAGTAATGTCCCACATTGTACAAGGCAAAAGTAATGTTCGCTACTGTACAAGGTAATAGTAATGTCTCATTGCAGCACATTTACAATAGATAAGTTACAGCACATTCACAATAGATAAATCACAGCACATTCACAATAGATAAGTTACAGCACATTCACAATAGATAAGTTACAGCACATTCCCAATAGATCAGTCACAGCACATTCACAATAGATAAGTTACAGCACATTCACAATAGATAAGTTACAGCACATTCCCAATAGATCAGTCACAGCACATTCACAATAGATAAGTTACAGCACATTCACAATAGATCAGACACAGCACATTCACAATAGATAAGTCACAGCACATTCACAATAGATAAGTTACAGCACATTCACAATAGATCAGACACAGCACATTCACAATAGATAAGTCACAGCACATTCACAATAGATAAGTTACAGCACATTCACAATAGATCAGACACAGCACATTCACAATAGATAAGTTACAGCACATTCACAATAGATAAGTTACAGCACATTCACAATAGATCAGACACAGCACATTCACAATAGATAAGTCACAGCACATTCACAATAGATAAGTTACAGCACATTCACAATAGATCAGACACAGCACATTCACAATAGATAAGTTACAGTACATTCACAATAGATAAGTTACAGCACATTCACAATAGATAAGTTACCGCACATTCACAATAGATAAGTTACAGCACATTCACAATAGATAAGTTACAGCACATTCACAATAGATAAGTTACAGCACATTCACAATAGATAAGTTACAGCACATTCACAATAGATCAGACACAGCACATTCACAATAGATAAGTTACAGTACATTCACAATAGATAAGTTACAGCACATTCACAATAGATCAGACACAGCACATTCACAATAGATAAGTTACAGTACATTCACAATAGATAAGTTACAGCACATTCACAATAGATAAGTTACCGCACATTCACAATAGATAAGTTACAGCACATTCACAATAGATAAGTTACAGCACATTCACAATAGATAAGTTACAGCACATTCACAATAGATAAGTTACCGCACATTCATAATAGATAAGATACAGCACATTCACAATAGATAAGTTACAGTACATTCACAATAGATAAGTTACAGCACATTCACAATAGATAAGTTACCGCACATTCACAATAGATAAGTTACAGCACATTCACAATAGATAAGTTACAGCACATTCACAATAGATAAGTTACAGCACATTCACAATAGATAAGTTACCGCACATTCATAATAGATAAGATACAGCACATTCACAATAGATAAGTTACAGCACATTCACAATAGATAAGTTACAGCACATTCACAATAGATAAGTTACAGCACATGCACAATAGATAAGTTAAAGCACATTCACAATAGATAAGTTACAGAACATTCACAATAGATAAGTTACAGCACATTCACAATAGATAAGTCACAGTGCAGCTACAGCAAATATCCTTCACCACTACATCAAATATCCCACTGCATAGCTACAACACAAAACTTACAGACATCTACAAGTAACTTACAATACTAAAGTAAATATATTACAACACACCACACAAAAAAACTTACAGCATATCTATTAGCATACAGAACTTGTATTAGGAGATCGGCACTGTAACCTTTGACCTCAGACGGAGAGAACAGCATAAAGACATCATATTTTTGGCCTTTCTTCGCAGAAACATCGAAGCTGTCCACAAAATTACCTTCATCAGTCAGCAGCTATAAGTTCCAAAGTGAAATAAAGAAAAAGAAAAAACATTAATTCGAATTGTATAAGTCGAGTTTTCCAGCCTTAAAAAAAAAAGGGGGGTGGGGTGGTTGAGACTGTTCAGAACCAGAGGTCCACTTATAAGGCTGTTATTATATGTTTTAGGAGGTGAGTAGTATATGCCTAATTCAGTATCCTGAGCTGTTCAATGTTGAATTAAGAATCAACATCATAAAACTAAATATTCCCATAAGTGCTTCATCCCCATCTTCAGCAGCAAGCGCAGGGTTCCAGTTCTGATGGTACCAGTATTAGTCTGACTTTACATGTCATCACTTTCTCTTAACTCTACCAGACCCCGCTGTACCACTCTTTGGGTAATTTCCTAATCTGCCACTAAACCGCAGTACCTAAACTTTAGTACTTTGCATACTATATGAAAATAAAATATGTCACAAACTAAAAATAGCCAACCAATCGTGGTCAAACCTCATGATCAGTCATCGCAAATGTCTGCCCCCATGAGTTTGGTATGACTTTGTGTGGTTTAACGTGAAAAAAGTATGAAAATTCACACTGAAATGAGCGGCTGATGAACCAAGCATTTCCACAGGAAAGCAAAGTAGCTCTAAGCTTTTCACAGTTCAACAGGTGATCGATACTTTAGTTGATTTAGTCTCTGAGGAGTCAGAATTTCAAAAAGAATACGTTTCCAGTTCAAGTTGAGACAGCTGGAGATGAAGTCGGGTGCAGTGGATGAAAAGGGTGTTCTACGCGCCTCACCATTCTCTCTGCGCTCCACAGCGTGTTGCTGGTACCCACCATCAGGTCCGTGGAGCCAGGTATTGGCTTCCTCCGAACATTCAGCTGAGTCCATATTTGCTTGCTGGGATAGGCAGAAATCTGAGATAGCATTATTCTGTCTCACAATATTTAACAATGAAAACAATTTAAACAAAAAAAAAAAAAAAAAAAAAAAAAAACAGTCTGCAACCATCAGTTTAACAAAAAAAAAATTAAACATTGAAGACAACTAGTATATTTTTTTTAAATATCCAGAAACCATCTTTGGCTTGGTACTATGGATATGGCAACCCTTCCGCCCTGATTCCATAATAAATACCCTAAATCTGGGAAAAATGTGGCTTTTCTGCCTACCCCAGGGCGTGAACTCAGACCACAAGGAGTTCGTCACCCGGTTGTCGCGAAGTCAGGTTTAGCCAACTACGCGAGTCGGGCTATCTAGTATATTGAATTGGGACTAGATCCTAAAATTTACCTTGAAAGCCGAGCCTGGGTTTCTGATGCAAACTTTGACATCATCATCGTTGTCAACGTAGAAGGAAATTTTCTGCTTCCTGGAAAAAAAAAAGGAAAAAAAAACTACATTAGGGAACAGTTATACAAGAGAAACACAATACCGAAAAAAGACTGAAATTAAACATGTTAACAAATTAAAATATCTGGGGCAATTATAAAATCTTCTGCCTGTTGCCCACTAATGAAGTAAAATCAACCAACTCTTATCAAATCATCTTACTTTATTTGACTAGTTGAAAGTTTGTTGTCTTTTTTCTTCTAGCTACAGGTTTTAAGCATTTGAACTGAAATGTTACAAATTCTTAGAATACCACAGACCAAGACAATGAAAAACATCGTCATTCTGCATGAACTGAGCATCGAGAGAGAACTGGCTCATAAACAGCACGCTGTCCTGAAAGCTGAGGCACTGTGGCTATGTTGAATGTCAAGGTGGCTTTGAGAGAACAGTGATGGAGGGTAGGGTTTCCAGAATATGAAGCAGAGGCAGACCTCTGCGAACGTAGATACAAGACACTGAAGATGACTGGCTTTGAAAGCATGAACAGGGCTGGAGAAATGGCTAGAGCAGGAAAGACTTTAAGGCGTGCCGTGATGTTCCATAAAGGACCTGCCGATTGTTGACGATAGTGTTTTAGACATGAAGTAGCAAACCCAAGAGTTGCCCTATGCTAGTGGCCTCTTATGACATGCTTGATGTACAGGCAGTGTTTAACTGTTTGCATCCACTAGCAGCCTCAATAACACGTGTTAATCATATCAGATAAGAGATTAAAAGCAGAACAGATTAAGTAAACCAGTTTAGAAGATTTGTTTTTCAAAAGCATCTTATGTGGTAAGTCACTATCAGTGAGGGCTAGATATTTAAATTTTGATTAAATATCAAACAGAGAGAAAGATGAACTGTTAGTCCCAGGCAATTACAAGTCTTCAATTCTATCTTAAGAATGTCTTCTTCTTCTTCTTCTTCTTCTCCAGCATTTCGAGCCCTCAAGGTTCAAATTCTGCAGATATTACCCATCTCCATTCACCTCTTCGTCTCCCATTCTCTTTCCATTTGGTAACTCCAAGTGTTTGGTCTGCCAGTAAATTATCTTCCCACGATCACCTCGAAAATCTGTCCAAAAGAAATGATAATGGCCTGGGTCTTCTTTGTCTATGTCTTTGCTTTTTGATATGATATCTTTGTTTTCCAGCTCAACACACAGACTTCAGTAAACCCTTAGTTGCCTTTTCTACGACCTGCTCTCTGAGGGGCGGTGGGTCTGTTCTTCTTTGAAAGAACTGGGCTCCCATTACCTGCAGAGGCACTGTTTACAAAACAACTCCTCTGCTAAATTAAGAGGATAACGGATAAAAGAGGATGTTAGTTAGTTGCGTATCCTTTACAGGACGTGCAGAACCAACCCCAGCGTTTCTTGGCTGTTGTGGTTTTTCTTGGCAAATTTATGTCCAGTAGTTTGCCATTACTTTCTGGACGGTCGGCTTCTCGAAACAACTGCCGAAACCAACGCAAGGCCCGCAGCTGGGATCAAACCCGGCACTACGAAGAGCATTCGCAGCGCCTAAGCCACAGATGTCGACAAAATGAAGATGACAAGCAGATATTTTTAAAAATGTTGAACAAGACTTACTGTGCTTGTCGCAAGTCCACGCCTCCAAAACTGACAGAGTTGACAGAGCACCTAATCTGTGTCTTTGTTGCTTTAATTTTGCCAATGACAGAAACAAACGACTGTGAAACTTCAGTCTGCAGCATTAATTTTCTGCAAAGAAAGACATTTTGTCATCGTTTGTTCAGCAAAAGACATTATATGGTCTGCTGGACTTATGACTGAGTTCTATTCCGACAAACAGGTTGTAAGTCAAACTGGTCATAAGTCAAATTTATATTTCCCAACATTATCTTCATTCAGACAGATTATTAAAAACTGCACCTAAAACACAAAAAATTCAATTATCGTACGCATAATTATTGTACACTAATGTGAAAAATACATAATATGTACTCAATTGCATCAGTTCCGGAGCTTTTTAACCCCACCAATGTATTTAATTTTCTTTACTTTCTATATTTTTTTTGGGGTGGTTGTAAGCTGTACAGGTCGTTAGTCAAGGAGAAGGTGTATATATCTATTATGCACATTTAAATGAAGAGATATCAGAAGCTGAGAATCCGTTCTGTGCCCGCAGTCAACAGCAAAACCAGTTACCTACTTCATGATCAGCAGCATGACGATGGAGGCAAGGTGGTGACACAATGTGGCTGGAATTACAAGGCTATTCCTAGCTGTATGCAATGTCATCTTAATGCATGGGCACACGTGGCCACTAGACTGGGGGTCCCATGAGGTTAAACAAACAGTCTTACACAATGTTGCATAACACTAGGTATTCATAACAAACATATAAGATAAACATACACAATCTTACACAATGTTGCACAACACTGGGTATTCATTACAAAAACAGAGGTTAAACAAACAGTCTTACACAATGTTGCATAACACTGGGTATTCATAACAAACATATAAGATAAACATACACAATCTTACACAATGTTGCACGATACTGGCTATTTATTACAAACATACAAGACAAACATACACAATCTTACACAATGCTGCCCAACACTGGGTATTCATTAGAAACATACAAGACAAACATACACAATCTTACACAATGCTGCACGACACTGGGTAGTCATTACAAACATACAAGACAGAATCTTACACAATGTTATCTCCCTGCTCCCCTCTTGTAGCCTGTGGCGTAAAAGTCACGTGAACAGGACAATTTTCTCCAGGGGGAACACAGACTTTGGTTGCGCTGATGGCAAAGTGGTCCCGCCACGGCTCTAAGGCGATGTTCACAGGCATGGTGATATTCCCAGAGTTGATTATCTGCACTGTTCCATGACCTGTTTTTCCTGGAGCTGCTATTATCGGTAATGTCTAGGAAAAAACAGTCAATGAATGGAATTATTAGGTTTGTAGCACCTTTTTATCTTGTTGTAAAGTACATTAGGGAAAAAAGGATTAGACCCACTGCCAAAGTGGGCATAGCTCCAATGTGACACAGCAGCTGGAGGAGGTATCAAAGAATGGGTTCCAAAGGAAACTATTTTGAAGAATGACCATAATGTATCATCTACTGACCCAGCAAACCTTGTTACTTAATTACTTATTCGGCTTTTTTTTTTTATTTTATTTTTTTTATTTCTGAAGGCCACCCATAGACCTATTTTTAATAGTCTCATATATATATATATATATATATATAGACAGACAGACACACAGACAGACAGACAGACACACACACAGACACACAGACAGACAGACAGACAGACAGACAGACACACACACACGTGTGTGTGTGAAGTTTTACTTTATACCCTCAAGTAACAATTAGCCACTGGACGATGGGGTTTATACTGAGAGGAGGATCTGAGCACCCATGGATATGTCCGTAAATGCTATGGGACTGTGTAAACTTAAAATCAGCATAGAGCTCTAAAATACAAACAACTTCCAAAACACAGTAAACTATTTTAAAACATTTAAAAAAATTTTTTTTTAGGCACAATTTCTCTAAAGCACCAAAAAAAAAAACAACAACACACAACAAACTACTCTAAAGCATAATAAACTACTCTAAAACATGAGAAACTGAAGCACAACAAACTACTCTAGAGCACAATAAACTATTATAGAGCCAACAAACTACTCTACAGTGCAACAAACTACTCTAAAGCACAACAAACTACACTAAAACACAACAACCTACTCTTAAGCACAACAACCTACTCTAAAGCACAACAACCTACTCTAAAACACAACAGCCTACTCTAAAGCACAGCAACCTACTTACATCTCGGTCTACATGCAACTTGTACATGCCGGCAGTAGCCTGCAGCTTGACTTTACAGAGTGGAAGCACATCCTTGATGGGCACATCCACACAAATGGTCAGAAGAGCTTGAAACTTCTCTGCCTTTTCCATGTACCCTGGCAACAAAATACGATGTCAACAATGCTCAGAATTCACACACTGAATAAACCCATCCAGAACCCAAACTTCAAGACCCCTTCAAATCAACCTGCTCAAAGGAAATCAACAGATCAATGATTTTAGAGTGCAATCGGGACACAAGAGACTCTCTGCAGCCATATGTATGCACAATTTGAGACTGAGGATTCAGAACTTTGCCCATGTGGATAAACATCACAAAATACTGAACAAGTGCTTCAGACTTTCTCTCTACCCCAAGCAGAGTGGTCCCACGTGTGGCATTCTGGTGGAACCAAGCTACATGGATCATTGGATGACATGCATCACATCACAAACTTGATAGAGGCTCTGGCCTTCTCATTTGAAACCACAGGCAGGGTATATGAAAAGAAGTAGAATAAATTACCTTAAACCACATACTCAATAGGTTTCCACTAGTTCTTCTTCTTCATTTCTTCAAGTTCACAAGCTGTAAACTCTGGTGAAACTTCTGGTTGTTCATCCACTTTCAGACTGCAGTCCTGTTCCAGAACCTGAGTGTGGCGTGTGCATCCGTTTTCCAGATCTGATCTATTTATAAGCAGACTGCTGGTTCCTTGCCTCTCAGGCAGATGCACTCCGACTTTGAAGGAAGCTCCCAATTAGTCAACTCTTATGACATGCTTTTAGGTAGGCAGTGATTCTATTCTTGTGTTCCCTATAATAGGGCCCCAGAGCCCACACTGGGAACTAGTTCAATTTACCAATGAATAATTTTACAAAAACAATATACGACATTAACACAAGTTATGCAAATAGGAAAACAGGAAACTACGTATAACTCCTCTCTGCGACAATTTGCGGCATAGGCAGTAGGGTAAAAGAAGAGAATGTCAAGAGTGTGTCATCTCTCACACCGACGAGCAGGCCAGCTGAGGTCAGTACTGTTTACTTTGCCTGGCAAGAAGGATGGGCAGAAGATCCTCATGGAGACTATCAATTTCTATTAAGCCTGAGATATTTTTTCTTTAAAAAATGACCTCGGCTCAGAGGATGACCAAGCCTAAAATGGCTACCAGGTATAAAGTCATGGGAAGTAAGGGAAGCTGTCATGATGTCGACCAAATCATCCACCGTGTGCCAACTGATCTATGAAACAGAAGTCTAGCGGTGTATACCTAATATACCTAATGGGATAGAAAATAGTCCTTCAACTTATGTTTATTGTGTTTATTCGACGGAGCAACATCATGGCACAAGGGCAGTAACGCACAAGTGCTCTGTTCTATTTCTAACATAAGCCTAAGTCTGAACAATCTCAGCACAGTGCACGAACTCAGTAGCACCGGCGGGGATCCTGAAATACTTTGGGTAAATTTGTAACTCAAAATTTTCCCCGGGCAGCGCTGTCAGGCTACTCTTTTTCGATTTCCAACTGCCAAGGTATTTTTTAGGTGTGCAACAGTACACACGGGCGCCTTGTCTTACTACCCAGAGACCATGGGAAATACTAGAAGTCCACGTTAAAAAATCCCAGCCTTTACTGGGGTTTGAATCCGGGACCTCTAGCACTCAAGGTAAATGTCATACATCAAGACCATTCAACCCATCACTTACACACACACACACACACACACACACATATATATATATATATATATATATATATATATATATATATATATATATATATATATATATTAGGGCTGCACCGAATATTCGCTTCGTATTCGCTTCGGGGCCGAATAGTGGACCCAATAACTATTCGGTATTCGGCCGAATAGTTGCGGTCGGGCCGAATACGAATAGTGGTTACAACCGTTTCTGGACTGGTGGAAAAAAAAACATCAAGATTTCCCACCTTGGTTTATACTGTCAAACGTTATCTTTGTGCACCACCTACGAGCGTACCAAGTGTGTCTTGTATGTGTTGTGAGTATAGTGTTTTTAGGTGTGTTGCTGTAGAAACAAAATGCAACACTTAAAGATGTAAGAAGGGCAGAAAAGCAAGTGTTCTAGTGTTGTCGGCTTGATTTCTTTGAGTGGAGAGTCCTCTTGGTTGATTCTTTGAAGTAACGGGAGTTCGTCATCATTTATGGGTGTAGTAACTGTTCTTTCGTCGTCTGGTGGAAACGGCAGCGGCTGAATGTTTTGATCGACGTTCGGTTTCTTCGTTGTCTGATCTTCTGGCGTTGGCCGCTCGGCGCCTGGATTTTTCGTCTGCAATGATTTTTCCGTTATTTGATCTTCAGGTGTTGGCTGCTCGGGGTTGTCTGTCTCCGTGGCCCCGGTGGTCTTTGATGTCGCTATCTTGTTTCCGTTGAATCCTTGAGCTCGTGGGGGGGGGGGGGCGCGACTTGTGAGGACGGCATTGTTTTCTTCGTCGGCGTTATTTTTGTTTTTGATGTTTCACCTTGCGGGTTTTTATCTTGACTCTCTGTGTTTGTCGTATTTTCCTGTTTAGTACAGCTGGAAATATCTTCAGTGAGAAAAAAAGCTGCTCTAATGCTGACAACATGGAACGAAGGTTTTTCATGGAGGTGTGTCAGCACATGAACTAATACGTGCTGCAGGAGACCGCAGATTGTGGCGATGCATAATTGCCCATGCCAGCCGGCAAAGCACATGATGATGATGATTCACTATTCGTATTCGGCCGAATAGTGAAAATCACTATTCGGCACAGCACTAAAAAAAAAAAAAAAAAAAAAAAAAACACGCACACACACAAACAAACAAACAAACAAACAAACAAACCATGTGTAGATACTTACGTATAGCAAGATTCTGTGTCTCTTTAGCACAACAGAAGATGTTGATAGTCTCCATGAGTATCTTCTGCCCATCCTTCTTGCCAGGCAAAGACAAGGAGCAGACTGTACCCACTTCTGCCGGCCTGGTTGTCAGGGAGATAGAGGACACATCCTTGACATTCTCTGGGTAGAAGGTGAAGTTGCAGAGCGCAGATTCTTTCTGTAATAGTTTTGAATTATTAAATGAGCTTGTTTTCTTATGACTAAAGACAGTTTATCACAAACATCAGAAGCAGACAATCATCACTTTGTGGCCATGTTAGAAGGAAATAAAACATGCTGTGACCACTGGAAAGATCTGTGGAAAGAGAGATAGAGAAAGAGAGATAAAGAAAAACACCAAGAGAAGATTCTTTACAGCGTTGTCATGGCAGGGAGTGTGTTAGTACATGAACACTTATGTGCTGTTGATGATTGCAAGTTGTGGAGAGGCATTATCACCCATGCCAGGCAGTAAAGCTCTTAATAATATTCTTGTTATGAAAATGCAGAGTTGAGAAGATGATGATGATGTCAACATAAGATACTACCGTAAAAATCTATATCTATATTCACTTCATGCCACTTAACACATAAAGCATTCACAAGTAATCTTCACTGCTACACACATAACAATCTATGTCTATGTTCACTGAATGCCACTATTGAAACACAAGGCACTCAACTGATCTTCACTGCTACTGGTCTATTGATTTCTGGCCATGGTATCCCATATCAGTTTACACTTCATTTCTAGTGTCTTTCTCAAGGTTGTCTTAGGTCATCCATGTCTTTTTTCTACCAGAAAACTGTTCTTGATACAGTGCCATGAGGTATTCTGCAGACATGTCCAAGGCTTCCTCTATCTTCTTTCTTTGATGCTTGCCATTAGAATAGAAACTATAAATTGTCACATATATTAGTTCATCATATAGTAGTAAGAAGAGTTTACCAGCCTCTTTTCTGTTCCCTTTACCTTCCCAGTAGCATCAATACTTGCCAGAATAAACCTTAAAACCCTCAGGGGTTTGAACTGCCAAAACTACATAAAAATATACATACCCTAAAAATTGAACATCGGAGCGGTATTGTTGCACGCCCAACATTTTTTATGTTTATTGAGCGGCAAAAAGTGCTCCCCCGAATCATTTCTCCAAAATCTATTTCATCATTTACTGGAGATATCTGAAAAACAAAAATACTACAAATCTTGAGTAACTCATAAGAACACACAAATATGAAAGAGAAAGGAATTTGAATCAGTATCGTTTTGGGAAGAAAATAGAAGCCTTTCATTTATCTATAAAAACATATCGAGGCTTCATGAGACTGCTTAATCAACTCCCTTTCTATATAAAATTAACAGGCACCAATTTTACAACTTTGGGTAGCTGTATTATCATACACTCCAATGCTTTGTCAATATGAGACCTTGATGTCTTTACCATATTGTCCGGTGCATTATCAAAATGAGATCTTCGTGTCATTTATCACTGTCCTGTGTATTATCAAAATGAGATCTTCGTGTCATTTATCACTGTCCTGTGTATTATCAAAATGAGATCTTCGTGTCATTTATCACTGTCCTGTGTATTATCAAAATGAGATCTTCGTGGTACTGTACTGTCAAGTGCTTTATAAAGTGAGAGCATTATGTCCAGTATTTGAGAGGCAGCATGATAGCATTTATTATCTGTCGAGTACTTTATGCAGTGAGACCATGGCGGAATTTATCATACTGTCCAGCACTTTATGCAGTTAGACCATGATTGCATTTATCACACTGTCCAGCACTTTATGCAGTGGGACCATGATTGCATTTATCACACTGTCCAGCACTTTATGCAGCGAGAGCATGATGGCATTTATCACACTGCCCAGCACTTTATGCAGTGGGACCATGATGGCATTTATCACACTGTCCATCCCTTTATGCAGTGAGACCATGACTGCATTTATCACACTGTACAGCACTTTATGCAGTGAGACCATGACTGCATTTATCATACTGTCCAGCACTTTATGCAGTCAGACAATGACTGCATTTATCATACTGTCCAGCACTTTATGCAGTTAGACCATGACTGCATTTATCATACTGTCCAGCACTTTATGCAGTGAGAACATGGTGGCATTTATCACACTGTCCAGCACTTTATGCAGTAAGACCATGACTGCATTTATCACACTGTCCAGCACTTTATGCAATGACAGCATGATGGCATTAACTAAAGTGAACTAGGTCCATGGCATTCAACACCTGAGAGAACTGTTAACTACAAATGTTTCCCCTCACCTGCAGTGCTGGCTCCTCGGAACAACCAGACAAATGTAACAGGTAGATCCTATTTTCCTGTGGATTGGTCATATTCTGGCTGCGTATCTCCACATTCACTGAGTATTCTCCCTGGCTTTTGGGTCTAAACATCACCTGTAACAACCAGGGGTAAAATATTTTATAAACGGTTTAAAGTCGGGAGAATTACCTTCACTGCACCAGGTTTGAAAACATATGGCTCAGCCTCTCTAGGCAGAATGGCTAGCCACCTGCTGAGAGAGTCATACAAAGCACAAACTCCACAGCTTCAGCAATGATCTACATAAAAAATATATACATTTGTGAACTGTATGTGTCTGTGAAATAAACCCACAACTTTCAGAGCGCAGGGCAAATGGTTTGACCACTCTCCATACCATCCCTTTCCCATGAAAACCATCTTCTGCAATGGTCAGCATATGGACATTCATATGGCTCACATCCCCGTGTGAGTTCCAGGGCCCCATAGTGGGCAGGAGGGAAAAGGACCTACTACCCCCCTAACAAGCATGTTGTAAAATTCTACTAATTATGGTACTTCCTTCAAAGTCAAAGTCCATCTGCCTGAGAGGCAAGGAACTAATAGTCTGCATAAAGATAAGCAAGATCTGTAAAACGGATGTGCCTGCAACAATGCTCAAGTTCTAGAACCAGATCAGAAGTGGCTGAAGAACCAGAACTTTTGGCTGGAGCTTACAGCTGATGAATGTAAAGAAGAAGAAAAACTGGTTCATAGACTGTATCATTTTTTGTATACTGAAATATTTCAGCTAAAAAAATGCTGTAACAGTTTGAAGAGAACAGAAATGGTTCTAGCAAGAAGGGATGGGAGCTGACCAGCTTCATGGTGGACAAAGGATATCAAGGAGACCTGGCCATGAAAGTTCACGAAGCAGGAATGGTGGCCGTTTACCAAGTGGCGTTTCTGAGCACCGTAATGAAACAACATTCTGCAAAGGACCTGCTACATCAGGGTTATTCAAGTAAGTTTACTCAGGGGTCCACAATTTTGAAAATAAGGGTTGTCACAGGCCACCACAGCACAGAAAGATCATTAAAACAATCGACTGGTAATGTCCTGTGCTACATGATGATGATGATGATAAGTTTCTGCAGGAGCTTTCACTTTAGTTACAACCGGTAATAAACCACAGGCAACTTGCTAAGCCTCCGCGGGCCATCAGCTAAATAGCTCTGAGCTACATGATGATGATGATTAATTTCTACAGTGGGGCTTTCACTGTCACTTTAGTCACATTAGGAGAATGAGACAACTAAAGTACACTGTGATGGCAGGAAATATAAAAGGGAAGAGATGCACAGGGAGACCAGAAGAGAAGATGCTGAACAGTTTGTCTAATATACAGGTACGGAAGATTATCTGTGTCAGAAATAAAGTACAGGCTGTAGACATGTCATGACTATCAACCCCAATTGGCACGGACTATAAGAGTATGTGGGAGTCACTGTGGCTGAGTGGCTAGACACTCGCCGCGGCTCAGAGTCGTGGCTTCGCTCCCTGGCGTAGCCGAAATTTAAAAAAAAATGACCCATCCTTGAGTGGGTACTGGGTGCAGTCCCGAAAAGTAAAGGCGGCCGGCGTGATGCTGACCACATGCCCCATCTTGTGCCGATTGGTCTATAAAAATATAGGTCTAGCCCTATATGCCTAATGGCGTGGAAAAGAGTCCTTTACTTTTTTTTTAAAGAGTACTTTGCAAAACACAATCTGAACGAATAGAAAACAAACTGGTTGCTTCATCACAAGAAGAACAAACCTGCACAGTCTGAGACGAGCTTGGAGACAGAACCACTTGACCCTTCAACTCAAATGGGCACTGATTGCTGTTGATCCTGCGACCATTAAATGTGACCTCTCCGATGGTCATCAGGCATCTCACTCCCTTGTCCAGCAGGTTCTTCATAACAAAGCTGCTCTGCAGTGACAAATTGACGCAGCAAACCTCAGAAATGAATACAGTCTCCGGAACTTCAAGGATATCCAGCACAGTCTGAGGGGTCACTACCGGCAGGATGGCTGTCAAACATAATATATAACATAATATATAACAGAAGTTAAACCAGTAAAATGTAATTATGAACATCATCATTGTCATGTGCTGTGCTGGTAAGCATAGGCCATGATGTTTCACTATCTCACACGATCACCAGAATCTTGGATCTGGTCAATGTTTGGTAAACATGGCGGAAATCTGCCCATCTGGGTTAGCTCTGCCCAATAAAGCATAAGGTCACTTTTCATTCATACTTTGTTGGGCTTGTCAACTTTGCTGAAGGTTACAAGGGTGTCCCAGTGTACTGTTTGTTCAAAAAGCTTTCTGCGTTGTCTTCCATTTAAGTTTTCATTCCGCGAAAGAGAATGTGTGTGATGTAAGTTGCAGCACTCTCGTAGGGATGTTTGTGTTAGGGTCATTCATGTCTGTTTTTGGAGCATTAAAAGTGCTGAGGTGCTGGAATATACAACACGCGATATCAACGGTGTTGGATTTTTGTGCATAATGAGTGTGAAAGAATAAGGAAAAAATAAAAAGTGGAAATAAAATAAAATATTAAATATTAAAAAAAGGGATGATTAAAAAAAAAAGAGGAAGAGAAACAAAAATAAAAATGGAAGAAGACCGAAAGAGGGAAAATGATGAAGGAAAAAAAATTTGAAGATGAAGAGACAGCAAAAAAATTTTTAACTGTAACTATGAAAATTAGCATTAAGAAAACCAGAAATCAGAGATAATTTTCTCAAGTTGCTAATATGCCCGGTGTAAGTTTCTGATTGTTGGGGAGTGGAGCCAGTGCTCCCTGACAAATAAGTTGTCAAAGGTAACTAATTATAGATTGGCTTAAATCAAATGTGATTGCCAAAAGGCGAAGATTTCACAGCCTTGCTTTATACCCCAACATAGCATGTCAACCGCCATTTTAAAGACAAACACAGAAGAGCGAATCACTCAAAGAGAAATTAATTGTGTATCTTTTACAGAATGTAGCAAATTAATTGCAGAATTTGCTGACTGTTTGGGGTTTTACTCCACTATTTTTTATCCTTCTTCTTCTTCACAACCGCCGTTGTAAACTTCACCAGAAAGTTCTGGTTGTTCATCCACCAATGGACTTTAGTCTAGTTCCAGAACTTGAGTTCTGCAAATCGTGCTTATCTGTATGCAGATTGTTGGTTCCTAGCCTCTCAGGCAGATGTACACCAGCTTCAAAGGAAACACACCAAATGAGTTGACCTTTATGTCATGCTTGTTAGGGTGGATCTATTCCTCCCCCCCGCCCACACACAATGGGGTCCCTGAAGGAACATGAGGAGGATATTCTGAACTAACTCATACAATTGTCAAAATCTTCTTCTGCTGCTTTCACCCTTAAAAAGCTAGTTGGCATGTTGTGTTGCGGTTTACAGCTAGGATTTGTCACTTGTGCTTTTCTCCCCCAACTGAATTTCATTTTTATGACACATTTGTTAAGTGAAGCGTCCAAACCCCCCCCCCCCCCCCCCCCAACAGAGCCCCAGAACCCACACAGAAATTGTCTAAATATATGCAAAGCCATCTGCAGCTTAACAATGGCAAACTACTGAATGTAATAGTGCCTAGTAAAACCATACAACATGCTGGGAGTTGGTTCTGCAACATTCTGCAAAGGCTATGCAACTAACTCACATGCACCTGAATCCAACTTGATAGGTAGAAATTATGAAACTGTGTTCATCACACCAATTGCATAAATACCGTTAACATTAACAAAACAAAAACAAATAATAATAATAATTTTAAAAAAAAAAAGAAAAGAAACAAAAGCTCACTTCTCTCAGTTATTTGTGTCATGTTGGCAATCATCTGGGGGCCAAGTCCATGCGCGGTATAGGGGGTACTGGATGCAAACAGTTTATTGTGCAGGTCTGTGTTGTCCAGCACTGATCTGCTGTTGTCATGCATCAAAGTGAGGAACTGGGACATGTTAGTCACGTCTCCATGAGTTGTGCTGGCTGTGTCGTCCAGCAGCTGATTCAGGTTGCCCATCACAGGCCTGTTCTCCTGCAGTCTGACAACACTCAGCTGGTTGACTTTTTCCTGCAGAAAGGGTGTCCGCACTGGCAAAGTCTTTGGATTGGCAGCTACTGGTTTTGTTGATCTGGCCGTATCAGAATATGAGGAGTTGATGGTGAAGCTCTGCAGGCTAGAGTCATCAGCCATGCTTTCTTCACAAACTGACTGAAGAGTCGTTTGATGCCCCTTTTGTGCTGCTGAAATGATACCCTGTGTCTGTATTGCCTTCGCTGGGTTCCTTTGCTGGAAATCAATCTTCTCAGGAATGGAGCTTTTATTATGAAAATTCAACTCTGAAGGTTCTAAAGATTTTGAACTAGCAGGATCTTTCTGTGATCCAGCTGCTGGTAAATGACTATATCCTTCTTGATTAACTTGTCTGACTGCTACACTGCTGGCTCCTGCACCTTTTTTGTGTGCTACCTTCCCATCTTCTGTTTGACCTTGAGAGGGATGGGGCTGACGTTTTGATGCACTTGAGATCAACTGTAACTGCAGCCTTTCAAGACTCTGATGGTGGTCTTCACTGTTTTGAGAAAATGACTGAACAATTGTTGAATCTTTACTGATGCTTGCATACCGTCTCTCAAAGGTTTCAGCGGCCTGTGTGGTGTTTTCCGATGGCAGAATTTTCATCCCAGGGACATCCATGTCTGCAAGAGTCACTGTCTGTACCGGAATTTGTGATGTAGTTTTTCTTTGTGAGCTAACCAGTGTACTACTGGAAGTTTTTGCAAAGTCATGCAGATGTGAGTGTGGTCTAGCTAGTGATTCTTCTGCTTGCTGAACTTTTTCTCCAGCTTTTTTATCCTTTTTTACTTTGGATTGTTTTGCAGCTTGTTTCTCCTTCACCATTTTGTTGTACTCGGACAGGAGCAGGTCACCCAGGTTGGTCACACTAGCATCTGCTTGTTCAATATATTTGTAGATATTACTGAAAGTTACTTCTGCAATATGAGAAAATGATGAAAACTTAGTAAATATAAATTACAAGCAAATGATAACGAGATCCAGCATCAGGATATAAAAACATACATGTAGCATAAAGAAGAAAATGAGGAGGGGGGTGGGAGCCCTTCATTTACCGCTTCAGTAGATACAGGGTCCTGCTTCATGCTCTTCTGGCTGCTTCGACCACAGACACATCCTGGTGCTGTATAGTTTCTCTTATGCTATCTTCCCATCTTGTTCTTGGTCTACCCCTTGATCTACGTCCTTTTCCTCTTTTGGAAAAGGGTGGAGGGGTGTCCATTCATTTCATAATATTGAATAATTTGGTATATGAGGAGGTTTGCTGACTCACATGCAGTGTCTTTATTAAATACAAAGGAAAACATAAAAGCTCGACTCTACATAAGAAAACAAAATAGTATTTTTAACACAAAAAAATGAGCCATCAAATGTTATTTACATCCTTACAACCCTTGTGAGGCAATTGTCATCAGTGATGAGCTCATGTTTTTATGGCAACAAAAGATTTTAAAAAAAAAACATCTTTTCTGTGTGTCTACATGTGGATGTAAACCTATGACCAGCAGGCAGGCAGGCAGGCAGGCAGGCATGCTGTCCTCGACACTAATATGCTCTCTAAATCTGGAGCAGTGAAGATTTAAAAAAAAAAATGACAGGGAGGTTGAACAAACAAGAAACACAGCTGAATATTACGATGGGAGTCCTTTTATTCCTTCTTAAGTCTGAACGAGACTGCTCAAAATATTTGATTGTGAAAGCCATTTTTGTGTGTGTGTGGTTCAAATTGTCACTTTCTAAATTTGTTTATTGTGAGAACTAGCTCCAATTTCAGAACCAATATTACTGAACTTCTTTGCCTGGCTGTAACTCTGGCGGAGTTCCTTGTTGTTTGTCCACTGTTCCCCAACTTAAGTTTTGTGTGGACATCTGGTTTATTTGTAAGCAGATTGCTGATTTCCCCACCTCTCAGGTAGATGTACCCCAACTATACAGCAAATAGATCTAATTAATCTACTTTTATGACATACTTGGGGCATTTACTCCCCCACTCCCACCACCACCACCAAAATGGGGCCCCGGAGCCCACACGGGTCACTGAAGTTAAAGATTGATGCAGGGGAGAGTGATGAGAGGTTCTGGCAGATGCTCGAGGCTCAGAGGAAAGGCAAGACGGACGTTTAATCAGAATGCTACTGGCACCATTAGTATCGGAACTCTTTGCTGGCTGCTGAAGATAGGGACAGAGCGCTTATGGAAATGCCCCGAGTGCTGTGATGTCGGTTCTTGAATCAAATCAAATGAAGTGAAACAAAACTTACGATCTGATGTGGAATTCTGCGACTCATCTTCCAGTCTTGTGATGGACATCTCTGCCTCAGCAAGTGTGCGGTTATGGTCTGCTGCTTCTGAACCAGGTGACTTTGCAGGTTCTTGCACCACGGCTGCAGCAGACGGAGCTTGTTGATGCGGCTCGTGGGCAAAGGCAGATTTTGGTTCATCAATTCTAACCTTCTCTATGGATGTTTCACAATTTGTAACTGGACGAGTGTCAACTGGAGTTTGTATCGATGGTGATGCAACCTTAGAGGATGCTTTAGAACAGTTATCATGTTTGTACTTTTGTAAATTTGTTACAAGGAATGAACTCAAATCACACGGAAAGCTAGTTTCTTGAGTTTCATCTTTCGAGGAATTCTTGTGTGGGTCGTCGTCAAATACTGTACTAGACTCTGTATTGTCCAAAGAAAACAGGGCATTTTTGAAGCACTTATGGTCTCCATCGGTTATCTTTTGGGTTGTGCTTCCATCGGGTGATCTGAAAACTACAATCACAAAATCTTCTAAGTTCAAAATAAAACAAATCAAAATTAGCTGCAAAAAAAAATTTAAGATAAAGTCATTTTTCTTCATCATTTATATTTTCTCATTACTTTAGAAGCTTTATTCTACTTCTTCTATGCTGTCGCCCTTAAAAGGGAAATTGGCACATTGTTTT